CATACAGAGTATAAAAAAAAATCAGCATGCAGGACATTCATTGCATGTCATCGAGCAATTTACAGTTGATTGCCTTTCAATTGAATGCCATGTCAATTTTCATTCGAGGACTTTTCCCTCGTCGATTAACTCAAAAAACATCGAAAATTGAATCCAAGTTGAAATGATAACGCGATTGGATTTTTTTCGAATAGCTGAGAAGCAGCAACAGCAAGGACAAAAAAAATCAATTTCCAATATTTTATTATTATTTCATGTGTGTGTGTGTGTGTGTGTGTGTGTGTGTGTGTGGATTAAAGAATCGATTAATTGTCGGGGAGATGGGAAAGAGCCTTAAATGCATGTCATGTCAGGGACAATAAATTGGTTGACTGCAGTCCATGTCCGATGACCGAGTAGTTGAAACGATAATAATAAAAAAAACGTTGAATTGATGAATTTATTTGTCTCGTGGGGCTACTTTTTGGATATTTTATGGCATTTGATGGGAGTTTAAAATATTTTTATTTTTGAAGTTAAGGTGGAGGGTCATGAGTGATGTGAGGATTCTGATTTGGTATTTGTTTAGTAATTGGAAGACTTGATTTGGAGAAGATCATGGAAAATGTTTATTTTTAAGCGAAACTTGTGTTTGAAATCAATTTTTATCTTGGATTTTTAATTAACAATAAAAACTTGATCAATGAGTTTGAAGCTTTATTATTGCTAAGTTTATGTGGGCCTATAAAGAATCTTGGAAATTTTTCCTTGGGCTTTAAGAGGTACCAACACTAGCTACATTGAATTTTTGAGATTAATCAGAAACTATGTTTTGGCTTCAGGTCAATTTGATGATTAATTTATATACACAGCGATTATGGGTTCGAGACTGAGAATTGGAAATTTTTCCTTCGAAGCATCTGTACTGGAAATGAGGCTCACAAACTTCATTTGTACGCTAAAGGCATAAATGTCATCAAAGGATTGGTTTGGATCTCATTTCAAATTGTAGGTCTAGGTTTGAGTGCAGTGGTTTGGCGCATCCTCACTCGGTAAACTCTCATTAGCTACTAAACGCCCCAGCGCACCTCTGGATAACAATTGATCTGAATAGTTAAACGTTTTTCTTTCAGCTGTCTTATATTAAAATACTTAATTGTTGCCTTTATTTAAAGTTTTTTTGACTAAATTGGGAAGAAAGTAGTCTAAAATTTGGTTTCAAGTTTGAAATTTTTTTTTCTCTTTATTCAAATTATTAAATTATTAAAACCAGAATTAAAAAACTTTTAATTTAAAAAAACCGACGCAAAACCATTATAATGTAAGTATTCTAAGCTGATTAACTGATTAAAATTAAAACTTTCAATTGATGCAAAAATAAAAAAAAATTATATTTTAAATTGCCAATTTTAAAAAATAACAAAAACAGATTTTTTTCAACTTTCCACTTTTATTTTTATTGAATTTTTTAAGTCATTTAACATCAAATTCTCCAATCATTTTCTCCACTTTAGTATTTTTTTCAAGACTCTTATCAACAGCTTGGTCATTGGATGAATAAAAAAGATTTTTCTTATATTTTTTTGCACAAAATAAGAAGAAGAAAAAAAAACATAAATTAAAGAAAATTTGCTGCGATGCGAGTGTGCGCTTTTTATGAAATCAACCTGATTGGTCAGTGATAACATCGTGGATGATGATGAAAAAATGTTGAAAAAAGAAAAATTTTGTAAAATTGATTTTTGGAGGTTGGTAAAATTTAAATGGAAAACGTAAAAAATTATAAAAAAATTAAACTTTTGACAAATTAAAAAAAATTTGAATAAACATTTGAAATTTAAAAATGATTTTTTTTTTAAAATAAAAATTAAATTTCTTTTTATTTTCCAGCAATAAATTAAATCAATAAAGAAATTTTTTGAAGGTTTAACAAATGAATTTTTTGAAATCATAAAAACATATTTTTGAAAAAAATTTAAACCGTAATGTAAATAAAATTAAAACCTGAATTTTTAAACATTTTTCTAAATTTTAAACTTCAATTTTGTAAAAACTTAATTTCAAAAATAACTCAACAGGTTTGCTTTCCCCTTTTTATTCACATTTAATATTTGTGGGAATTTGAATTTTCACTTCCGCATTTTCTCGCTCTCCGTTTCCAAAAAAATATAATTTTAATAATTTTTTGCAAAACAATTTTTTTCGGTTTTATTTTGAAATTTTTCTGCAAATTTTCTGTAATCAAAACAGCCACAAAAGTGCTCAAAACAATGCAATATTTTTAGAGATGATTTTCACCAATTTTTATTCGCAGTCTGATTGGTGAAATTCAGTTTGTTTGGGAAAATTCTGCTTGTTTGTGTTGGAACTTTAAGTTTGTGTTGGTTGAAGAGCTGCTTCAGCAATTCATTGTGTTAGTAGATCTACTAATACAATCAAATAAATCGAAGGATTCCTCAATAAACCGACAAATTGTTCTTCCTGCATTACCGACTTCAAAACTCCTTCACAAAATCATGAAATCCTTCACAAATACAACCACAACTTCCACCAACACACTCTCAACTTACTTACCAATACAATCAAACTCAAACTCATACAACCAAATCAATTCCAACCCTTACACAACGAAATCCTCATCAACCCCTTCAGAAATTCCTGATTTATCACACAAAAAAGAAAACATTTAAAATTCAGACTCTCGTGGTCCGATTTGCATGTCGATTGCATCACAATTGAATTCATAATGAAAATATGTTCAAATTAATTTTGTTGTGTAATAAATTTTGATGTGTTTTTGGCGATTGTGAGTTGTTAGCAGTTGTGATGATGTTTTTTTGAGGGGGGGCTTGTTATTGGTTAGGATGGAGGTTGGGATGTATTTTGATGGAAGCAATGAGTGTGATTTATTTGAAATTTTAATTTATACAAAATTTTGATCAACTAAGTTCTGTTCTTGATTAGCGCTAAGTGCTGATATTATCATAAATTGCTCAGTTGTTGCCAAATTTGGCCCTTATTGTCAGTTTTGGTCATTACTGTTCAGTTTTGCTTAGTGTTGCTCAGCTGTTGCTCAGCTGTTGCTCAGCTGTTTCTCAGCTGTTGCTCAGTTGTTGTTCAATTGTTGTTCAGTTGTCGCTCAATTTTCTCAGTTATTGCTGCATTTGCTCTGTGTTGCTCAGAAGTTGTTCAGTTGTTGCTCAATTGTTGCTCAGTTGTCACTAAATTAGCTCAGTTATTGCTGCATTTGCTCTGTGTTGATCAGCTGTTGCTGTTTTTGATTAAATTTTGGTAATTTTTGCACAGTTTTGCTCAGTTCTGGCTCAGTTTTTCTCGTTTGTGGCTCGGTTCTCATCAATTTTGCTCAGTTTTTATTCGTTTTACCTCAAAACTACAAAATGAGCTTAAAATCTCTTTAATCAATCTAATTTGTCTGAACTCTCCAGTCCCCATAAAACCAAACCACATCTAATCAACAAGAGCTCATCAAAATCACATGGTTATTAATTGCCAACTCATTAATAATGACAATATTCGCTTGTTGATATCCTCGTCATTCATAATTACCTCGAACATTATTTTTTGCCGTCCACAGAAATGAAATGAAATGGAAATTAGACATGGAAAGATGTCTATGAAATGGATTTGAGTTTGTGGCACTTTAGAAAATTAGAAATTTTATTATTTATAGAGGGTTGAGATGGAGCTGGTGTGGAGAAAAGGCAAGCTTAATTAGAATAGTGAGGACTATGTTGTAGAGTTGATAGGTCCAACTAAATCAGCTTGACCAAGCAATCCCTAATAAAACTTTTGATCCGATTCAATTTTTAATCCAAACCAATATTTTCAATCATTTACCACACGCAACCCCCTCCAACCCTCATTCAGCAATCATTTTACCACGCCACTTATGTGCCACAATTTAATTCCATTCGACAAATTAAAATTATTTTTATTAAAAATACAAAATGCAACAGCCACGCGAACTCCACCTATTTTTAATTCCGAAATTGTTCACTTTGTTGTGCATTTAATGTAATTTTAATTTTTATTTTCTGCACGACACGAAAAAACCATTTTTTGTCATCAACAAAGACATTATTAATAATTACACGTAAAATATCCATCAGTAATAAAGTAGTAGCTCATAAAAAGTCAGTGATTATCTTTGCAACATATCATGTCATGTCAGTTCTATTCAGTCATTAAATGTATGTCATGTACGATGTCTATTATGACATACTGACGATTGTCGTTATTATGTGACGGAAAATTGATTAGATCTAATCAGTCATGTCCTTTTTATGAGTGGATAGGATGGAAAGTTATGTTATGTAATTTATTGGGGAATATTTTATGGTCATTCGTTAATGAATTGGCATGGAATCATCAAGGGTCAATGAATTAATCATGTAAGTACGGTAAAGAAAGCTGAGAATAAAAAAAACCAGTTATAGCTGAGCGTCAAACTTGACTGGCTACAGCTGAGCGTCAAACTTGACAAGCTACAGCTGAGCGTCAAACTTGACAAGCTAAAGCTGGGCGTAAAACTAGACAAGTTATATCTGAGCGTCAAACTGAAGTAGCTAAAGCTGAGCATCAAACTGGGCAAGCTAAAGCTACGCGTTAAACTAGACTAGCTACAGCTGAGCGTTAAACTAGACTAGCTACAGCTGAGCGTCAAACTAGACTGGCAACAGTTGAGCGTCATTCTTGACTAGCTAAGGCTGAGCGTCAAACTAGACTTGCTAGAGCTGAGCGTCAAACTAGACTAGCTACAACTGAGCATTAAACAAGACATGCTAAAGCTGAGCGTCAAACTAGACTAGCTGAAGCTGTGCGTCAAACTATAAAAGCTAAAGCTGGGCGTCAAACTAGACTAGCAACAGCTGGGCGTCAAACTAGACTAGCTCCAGCTAAGCGTCAAACTATAAAAGCTAAAGCTGAGCGTCAAACTAGACTAGCTACAGCTGAGTGTCAAACAAGACTAGCTACAGCTGAGTGTCAAACTAGACTAGCTAAAGCTAAGCGTCAAACTATAAAAGCTAAAGCTGAGCGTCAAACTAGACTAGCTACAGCTGAGCGTCAAACTAGACCGGCAACAGTTGAGCGTCATTCTTGACTAGCTGAGGCTGAGCGTCCAACTAGACTAGCTAAATCTGAGCGTCAATTCATAATGACTTCAATATTTATCTGATTGAGTACCCACTCGCTGAACAACATGAAACATCAGTGACTCCATCTCACGTTATTTCATTTTAAAACCTCACAATACTTCTATTAAAAGCAATTGATTAATTTAAAATCATGAAAAATTTTTGCTACAATTCTCTCAAAATAGCCCCGAACATAATCTCAGTTTATCACAAATCATCACAAAATGAAGTCAATTGTGATTGTTATCATTTATATTATCTCATCGTGCAGCGCATATGGTGAATTCAAGAACATTTCAATGAAATGCATTTCAATGTCAGGAGAGCGTCGGACTCACTTTAACATGACAAAATATACGCAGAATATGCAGTGCGAGTTTGTCGAGGAAATTGGCGAAAGTGACATAACTGTGGTGACTTCAATCATCGGAATTGGAAATTATCAAAATTTATCAATTAATTTGGCATTTGTTTATAATGAATTTGCATTCCCGCAACTCATGCCAGTCGGAATTGGACGGCAAGTTCAAAAGAATTCAGGACAACGACTCAAGTCGCTCAGCATCATGCGTCAGCATTTTTTAAAGACAATAAAGAGGGAAAATTTTGCAAATATGACGTACTTGGAGCGACTTGTGTTGCGCAATACACAAATTGAGGACATTCCATATGACACATTCCATGACTTGTTAAACTTAAAGTCCCTCGACATACAGTGGAATAAAATTCATCAACTTCACTCAGACGTTCTCGTGACGATGCCAAAATTAGAAATTTTATTGCTCAATTATAATCCAATTGAGGTCATTGAAGCTGGAGTTTTACGATTTAATATCAATTTGAAGGAGATTGAGTTGCATTTTGATAATTTGAAGAATGTCAAGGTTGACTTTACGAAATTTGCTAAATTAAAGCGAATTGAACTGGGCTCGGTGAAGACAAAATGTAAAATTAGGGAAGTTTTCTATGCAAAGGATTCAAATGAGAGGACCAGGAAGATTGGGGACTTCCAGAAGAAGGTGAGGGAACTGTGCAGAATTGATTGAAGTGTTGAGATGTGTTTGGGGTCATTAGGATATTAGGTAATGTCGGTAATCTTTAATAAAATAGCTCAAACTGTTGATCCACAGGTCACCTAAAACCTAATCGGCCCTTTAAGCCCGCCTTGTATTAACCATAATTGTACAAAATTAAACCAAAAAATCATTTGTACCATTTATTTAATATTTACAACTTATAAACCGATGTAAATGTAAATTAACTTTAGAAAAATAAAAACATTTAATTTATAAAATTAAAAATACAAGTCACGTCATTTTTAATGGAGTCATAATTAGTAATGAGGTCAAATATTAAGGTTGATTGGATATCCAGGGATTAAGTCCTTTTGTGCTGGTATGATAAAGCTAAGCAATTGACACCAGGTGCTCCTGTGCAAGAGTCCTACATTTGCACCAGACCCCGGCTCCTAAAGCTCAATGCAACATCTCCAAATTTACCCAAAAAATCCATTATTCAAAAATCTTTTTAAATTCCTTTTCAAAATTTTCTTATAATTTTCATTCTTGTAAGCCTTCTTCATCATTCCACTAAATCCAGGCTCCATTTCATCATCCTTAAAGTCATTCAAATCCATAATAGAAAGTGGAAACATGTGCATGAAGTTTGTAGCTTGTAAATGTCCATTCTTAAGTATCTCAATTTGAAGATCTAGCAATGATGGTGGCTGCTTTAGATAACCAAACTTCTTCAGAGCTTCAACAAATTGTTTATGGTAGATAAAGAGGATTTCATCGTAGCGATCAAAGCGATTGTTGTCAGATGTGAAATTAAAGAAAGCGTAAGCAAAGTCGATTGCTGGTGAGCCATAAACGCAGATTTGGTAGTCGAGCTAAAATGAAAAATTGTTGTCAGTATTAAATATTTTATTAATTTGTGGATAAAGCTTAAGCAACACTACAACTGTGTCTACTGATTTGAAATGTGGTCTGCTGGCTTAGAAAGTGATTTAAGGGGTTTAGTCAAGGTTAATCTACTTGAAGTAGGTGACAAACGCAAGCATAGGCTAGTAGAATTCACTGTGAGTCAGCAAACTCTAGGTTGGGAGTAGTTTGGAGATGGTAGAACTAGATAAGAGCTGGTAGCACTAGGTAAGAGCTGGTAGAACTAGATAGGAGTTGGTAGAACTAGGTAAGAACTTTGTAAGCTATAGTTTCCTTAGAAAATGTGACTTTCTGGGCAACACCAGTAAAATCTCCTTTAAACTAGCTGAAAGATGTTAAAAAAAACTCACAGCAACAAAATCCTCAATCTTTCCATCCTCCTTGTTAATTTTATACAGCACATTCTTAAGATGAAAATCTCCATGATTAAGAACATTAAAAGCTCCAGCTCCTGTATTCGGTTTGGTCGATTTTTGACATTTTTCAGCATAAACTGTTCTGAAATTCTTGATAGGCTCAATAAACTCTTCATATCCTTCCCATTCTGAAATGTAGTTTAGGAAAATGTCAAAGTTTGCTGTGAATATAGCCACAACACTGTCCATGCTGAATATGGTAAAGTCAAAAGCAGCTGCGTCGATTTTCTGGAGTGAGTAAAACATTTTGTCTATAAATTAGTTCAAACTTTATAAGTAAAGAGCAGTGACGCTGGGTAACTCCAATGATTGCGGCAGAGATGGAACCAGAAAAGCCAGTCTCAACTCAATCTTAACTATAACGAAAACGGCTACAAAGCACAAAGTGCAGTACTTTAGCTGTGGTTCGGTCGAAACTGCTAGCATCACCGAAATGAACCATTCCCAACTCTGCTTTGAGTCTCTTGGACGTTCCATACAAACCTTCTCATCCTCCAAATAAAAGCTAGCAGCATGAAACTTTGCCAATCTCTTAAAAATCATCTTAGAGACCTCAAAATCATCATGAGCTGTTGTAATCAAGGTATCGTATCCAATAGCCTTGACATCTTCTAACATAATGACTGGCTTTGGTGTCATTGTCTGATAAATTAATCTACACGTGGAAAAATACACAAATTATTATCGAAAGTATGTCAAATTTATCAGTAATGTTCAAGGTTGGTGTGATAAGACAGAACTAGCACTTAAGTGAGTTGACATGATATTTTGTGATTTAATAGTCAATTTTAGGTTAATTTGGCCATGATAGTCATTATTTGAGGATTAATGGAGGTTTAGGGCCGGTCTTTTAGGGACCCTAGCTTTAAACCTAGCCATGTGTGTTTGAATACTTTTAGCATCCTAGCACTCAATTGAATGGATGTACAACATTCTCAAAGAATCAAGATACTTACTTTGGACACATGATGTCTTCATATCCAACAGAACTGATCAATTCCTGAATCTTCATCAGCACTTCCGTGTAAGCAGCAATTTCATTTTTAAACAATGTCGTATCCTTCATATGATCCATCCCCGAACCAAGCTGATCCACATTAAATGGCTGTGTCTTAATAATCACTGACAATTCCTTCTCATCTTGCTGATGTTTGGATGTGTATTTCACAATCGCACGAAATACAGCACTAGCAAAATTTTCACCAGGCTGCGTTGCTGACTTGATGTCAAAATTTGTGACTTTCGCTTGTGCATCAGATTCGTAGCTTTGAATAGCTTTGTCGAAGAGGTCTAGGTTCAGCCAGGATGGGATTGATGAAGCGATATCGGTTGATTCCATTTATAATTTTTGGTAATTTGATAAAAAAAAGTCAACTTAAGCAAGAGAAAAAAAAATGAAAACCAAACACGCACAACGATCAAAACAAACTGAGAATGCTGCTCACTTATAAATGCTTTTCTCAATTTTTTTAGAAAGAGATTGTTTGAATGTGTTGAGGAAGTGCTTGAGCACATGGAAGTACAAAAAAATCTTTATTTATTCTTCTTTAATTTTTTAATGGAATCTGAATAGCACAAGTTGGTTAATCGAATAGAAATCTGGCATTACTCTGGCATGGTGCTGGCTTTGATCTAAATCCAGCACTATGCCAGAATCACACAAATTTGGTGCCTGATTTCTGATCGATTAATCGACTTGTGCCATTCGGGGAATTGTTATCAATTTTATTTGAACTAGGATGAAAAAGGAATCCAAAGAGGTGACTTTAACTACATCCTCAACTATCCATACATCTAGAGTAGGCAGCCCATTATTGTACAGGTTTACTGGAGTTTAACAACAAGACTCTTGCCAACTCTGCTTTCATTAATGACACTTAATTCCCTAAAAATCCTTTATGCAAAAATGCTTTCAATTCTTCCTTGATGACTTTCTTAAATCTTTGATTTTCGAAAGTTTTCTGATTGAAAAAGTTCATTCCAGCGGCAAAGTCTTCAGGTGTAAATGTGCTCATGTCTAAAATCATAAATGGATACAACAGCATTGCACATTGTGCCTGTAAATGTCCATTTTTCAGCATTTCAACTTGAAGATCAAGCAACGTTGGAGGCTGTTTTAGGTAGCCGAACTTCTTGAGAGCTTCAACAAATTGTTCATGATAAGTTGCAAGAATTTCATTAAATCGGTTGATCCGGTCCTTGTCAGAGACAAAGTTGTATAGATAGTAGCATATGTCGATTGCTGGGGTTGAGTAGACGCAGATTTGAAAGTCATACTGCAATTAAAGTTCAAGGATTAGTTTGTAGGATAACCAAGGCTATTCCACCCTAGGCATAGTCGAATGAAAGTTTGATTCTAGGGTTTAGTTCTTTAGTTCGAGCTACCAACCGATCCCAGAACCTTAATCAGATTTTTTGAGTAGAATTAACCTCCAAATTCTTCTTAATAATGCAACTGGAGCTGGTTTCTGTTGCTACTAAGGACATTCTGGCTTTAAAAAATAAAATTAAATTATGAATAAGTTTGGTGAACTAAATAGCCCCAGGAACCAGCTCATAAGAAACTCCAATAAGCAAAATCAAAAATTAAGTACAAACCATCACAAAATCCTCAACTTTTCCACCATCCTTATCCATTTTATACAGCATATTCTTAAAATGAAAGTCACCATGATTCAAAACATTAAAAGCACCAGAACCTGTACAAGCAGTATAAGAATTTGCAGACTTTTCCATATAACTTTGCCTCATCTTCTTCAGCGGTTCCACAAATTCCTCAAATCCTTCCCATTTTGACATCAATCCAATCAATGTGTCGTAGCTATTTCCATAAATCATATTGCATATTGGCTCAACCTTAAATATGCAGGCATCGAATTGAGTTGCGTCGATTTTCTAAAAAAAAAATAAGTCACTGAGAATATCAATTAACTGCTTTAAGATCACACAAACCTGTTCATTTTGCAAATAAAAACTAGCTGCATGGAATTTTGCCAATCTTTTTATGACCATTTTGGAGAGCTCAAAATCTTCATGAATTGACTTAATTGCTGTATCAAATCCACTTAATGTGACGTCTTCAAGCATTATGACTGGTTTTGGTGTCATTGTTTGGTAGATTAATCTGAAAAAAATGAGAATATTGTCACTTAATCCAGAGTTTGTAATAAAGCAAGCGGTGAAATGGCATCAGTGGTAGGATGACCATATAATTTTTATGAAAATACAGGACATTTTATAAATTTCCTAAAAAATACAGGACACAAAGGAAAATTTGAAAATTAACGGAAATTTTCGTGAAAAAAATACAGGACCTGGAACAAAATTTTCAAATTTATACAGGACAGGGTTTTGAAATACAGGACTGTCCGTTGTAAAACTACGCAGATGGTCACCCTAATCAGTGGCTTTAAATGGTAGGTAGAGCGTTGGCCTTCCGTTCCAAAGGTTCTAGGTTCAATCCAATGAAATGTCTAATTTTTGAAGCTTTTTTTTCATTTCACCGTTCTAGCTACTAAGCTCGGTTCGTGTGTTGGATGTTTATTAGGACTCTTAAGTTTCGAGTCATTGTTGCTCAATTATTCTCTTTTAATAAACTTACTTCTTGGTGTATACACCAGGAGATACCTGTTAGTCTAAAGGAGATGAAGGTGTAAGGACGTATTTGTTCAAACCAGTGATGGACAATATATGTGCTGCGAAACACTTCCAAAAATCGTAGGCTGTGTCCGATTGCAATCATGTCTCACTAATAAGGTTTACCGTGCCACAAATAAGGTTACCCAACACTGGTTTAAACCATAAAACCTACTCTTGCTTTCATACTTTGTTCAAAGCGATCGTCCATTATATAATAACTCTTCTGTCAAGTCCCTGAACTCTTATCGTGGATTACAAAAACAAAACAGCGATAAATTCGAGCGAAAGGTGATAAAAGTGAATGACTTATTCATCGATTACTCATTTATATATTGATTATGATTCGCACTTTTAGAGATAATAAGCCAGCGATAAGCTTTTTAGCCCAGGAACTCTTGGAAAGAAGCTGTTGATAGAGACAGTATTACACTTAGTATGGGTAATTGGCAAACGGTATGCAGCGATAGAGCCAGCTTCAGGCTCTATTTAAGCAAGGCCATGGATCACAATTAATCTGTAAGGCCAGCGAAGTAAGTAAGGCTTTATTTGAATTTCTCTACTAATTATCGTGCAAGTGGCCTTACGACCTTATTTTACCTTGGACACATCACATCTTTATATCCAGCAGAAGTGATCAATTCTTGCATTTCTCCCAAAACATTCAAATAAACTCCAATTTCATTTTTAAACAATGTTGTGTCCTTCATATGCTCCATTCCTGGCAAATCCACATTGACCGGCTGTGTCTTGATGATTACTGACATTTCCTTTACATCCCTTTGATATTTTGATGTAAATTTAATTGTGGCTCGATACACGGCACTTGCGAAATTTTCACCAGGCTGCGTTGCTGCTTTGATGTCAAAACTGATGACTTTTGCGTGTGGATCCGACTCGTAGGTTTGAATAGCTTTGTTGAAAAGTTCTTGGTCAAGCCAAGGTGGGAGCTGCTTTGAGAAATCAAGAATGTCCATTTTGGATCGAATTTTATTTTCTGAAGCAAACCGGGAGGAACAAATAAAAGTGAAATGTCAAATGAGAATCAAAACACAGACTAAAGAGCTTAAAATTCTCGCAAAAGAGTTTTGTTCGTGCAAAAATTTTATTTGTGGTTGTGGTAAAATAATTTAATAATGTAAGTCGATTACAAATATATTCAAGATTTAGAAATTTGTATAAAAATTGTGAGAAATAAAATTAAAATTTAAAAAAATTAAGTAACATTTTGAATCTGTCCATTTATCCATCCAAGAATCCTTTATGCAAATACCTTTCCAATTCCTTTTTAATAACTTCCTTAAATCTTTCGTTTTCAAACATTTTAGATTTTAAGTTCTTCATGCCTCCCGCTATATCCTCAGGCTTTAAAGTGCTCAAATCGAAGATCAAAAACGGATACATTAACATCCCAAAGTGAGCATGGAAATGGCCATTTTTGAGCATTTCCACTTGAAGATCCAGCAATGATGGTGGCTGTTTGAGGTAGCCAAACTTTTTGAGAGCTTCAACAAATTGTTCGTGATATGTGAAAAGCAGTTCATCGTAGCGAGTTAGTCGATTCTCGTCTGAGACAAAATTGTAAAGAGCATAGGTTAGGTCAACAGCTGGAGATGCATAGACGCAGATTTGAAAGTCAAGCTGAAATTAATTGGATTATTTTTGAGGTTAAGAAGAGGCATTTTTGATATTTCGAACATGTCCAACTGCTAGAAGTGGGATAATTAATCAGAAATCCGACATCAACCCGGTGGGACTCTGACATGGTGCTGGAATTAAATCAGAGCCAGCATCATGCAAACTTAGCGCCAGATTTCTATTCGATTAACCAACTTGTGCTGTTCGGGATGTTTGAGCTTTAACATAAACTTTGAATGCCAAAATTGTCCAAAAAGTACTAGACAGTCTTTTAAATACTCAATCAACTAATATTTTAACTTACCATCATAAAATCCTCCACCTTTCCACCCTCCTCGACCATTTTGTACAGCATATTCTTAAAATGGAAGTCTCCGTGATTCAAAACATTTATAGCTCCTGTATCAGAACTTGGTGAATAGGTTTTCAAAGATTTTTCCAAAATAATGTCTTTGAAATGTTTAATTGGTTCCAAATATTGCTCAAAACCATCCCATTCAGTCATGCAATTAAGAAGAGCTTCATATCCTTCACTAAACAATTTCTCTGAATTTTTGCCGAATTTAAAGATGCATGTGTCGAAGGCTGATGCGTTGATTTTCTGGAGATAAAAGATTAAATTAAAGAATTATCAAGCAGTGCTCCAAGTTATGTGTACAGACGCTCCCAATACTCTAAGGAACAGACTATGTTGATGGCATGAGAAAACGAGGAAGATTGAATAACTCTTGTATTGGTTGTGGTAAAAAGGAAGCTAGAGTCTTTGATATCTCAAACTGGCAGAAGGTATGCAAGAAAAGAAATGTATTCAGGCAGTATTGGCTCACATACGCTTCAGTCAAGGAAAGAGGTAAATGTTAACTTGAATTCAAGTTAACTTGACTCAAGTTAAATTGGTTTTTGCCAACGACTTTGCAAAGAACCCGAGTGGACACTTGACATTAATGTCAAGTTGTAAACTAGATTTATTGTTGACTAATACCATTTTCTCCTGAACTTTTCCAAAATTTGTTATTAATACACTGCAGATTTGTAGTTATTAACTATACATCAATGCCTAGTGATCATTCAAGATCGTCTCAAAATTAATTTTAATTTAGCTAATTAGAATTAATATTAAAATAAATTTTGGATTCAAACCAAGTGCCGTGAGTCACAGCCATGATTGTCACACATTTAACTAAATATAGGAAGTCAGGAGTCTCAGGTTTTACCTTTTCGTCCTGTAAGTAAAACCCAGCAGCATGAAACTTTGCTAATCGTCTCAAAATCATCTTCGAAACCTCAAAATCTTCATGTAGTTTTGGAATCATGGTGTCGAAGCCATTTGCTTTGACATCTTCAAGCATTATGACTGGTCTTGGGGTCAGTGTGTAGTAAATCAGCCTGGAATGTTTTTAATTGATTAGAACTTAAGACCAAAATGGGTTCAAGGGCAAAGGTCTGAGAAAAATGACATTTGATCATATTGATCAAATCTGCACCCATTGGTGATCATCCAAAGGCCTTCAAGAACTTACTTTGGACTTATAACATCATCGTAACCAGCAGCATCCACCAACTCTTGAACCTTTACCAACACCTCGGTATAAGCAGCAATTTCTGTATCATATAAGGTCGTATCCAACAGAATCTCCATATCCGGTTGATCCATACATGCTGGCTGTGTCTTAATGATTACTGACATTTCCTTAACATCCTTTTGATATTTTGATGTGAACTTAATTGTGGCTCGATACACGGCACTTGCGAAATTTTCACCAGGTTGCGTAGCTGCTTTGATCTCAAAATTTATGACTTTTGCATGTGAATCAGCTTCATAGCTTTGAATGGCTTTGTCGAAGAGTTCTTGATTAAGCCATGGCGATATTGTCTTGCCCCAATGATATGCTTCCATTTTATTCTATTAAAATTAAGAAGAGTTAAAATTTAGAAGCAGCAAGTAAGTGTCTGTAGTGATCACACGCAACAACCAACACCAACTGAGCTGTAAAACTGACTTTTTTTATCTTTATTTTCTCATAAATTGTAAAGGTGTGTTGGTGAGAAAATCAAATTTGTCTGAGAATTTTTATGATTATTGTGATTCATGTGTTGTTTTTTACTTTGTCTAGATAAAAAAGTAATGATTGAAAAACACAATATTTGAAAAATAAGAATGAAAATTGTTTTAGTAAATATTAAGTTTTTATTTTACTTTAAAATTCAAAATAAAATTAGTATTTTCTGGGTATGAACTGGTACAGAGGAGAATATGATTTATCAAATGGAATTTTTTTTTATGGAAGCGCATGTATTGTCTTGTTTAAACACAAACCCATGCTTTCATATCCCTCAGGGTCACTTACTTGATAGACTCCAAAATAAAAATTTAAGTGCTTCCTATCTTTAAAGTTTTGAGTTCTTTTAAGGAAACTATAAGGCAATGAAGCATGCAGGTTCCATCATAGCCTCCCACTATTGTGGGCCATGTCATAAAAAAGTTGCTCATCACTGCTTTAAAGTATGTCCAAAGTTATCATAACATTACTCAAATAATGCTAAATTGCTTTACTTAATCAAAAATCATTAATAATATTTTAAAATGGTTTAATCTATGATATAGTCTAAGTCAAGAGTTCCAACTTGATTATTCTGCAAAACTATGCCTAAATCCTAGTTTCCAAAACCCAAATAAAACTTCCTAATTCCCTAAATACCCCTTCAGCAAATAAACTCTCAATTCCTCCTTAGCAACTCGCTGAAATCTTTCATTATTGTAAATTTTAATGCCCAATCCTTTCATTCCATCTGACATGTCTTCTGCGGTTGCATTCTTCATGTCAAAAATAAAGAATGGATACATAATCATCAAGAAGTGAACAAAGAAGTTTCCATTTTTCACCATCTCAACTTGAAGATCAAGCAATGATGGTGGCTGCTTAAGGTAACCAAACTTTTTGAGAGCTTCAACAAATTGTTCATGGTAAGTGACGAGCAGTTCATCATATCGGGTGATTCTGTCTTTATCAGGCACAAAGCTGTATAGAGTGTAGATTAGGTCAACTGCTGGAGATGCATAGACACAAATTTGGAAGTCAAGCTATATAAGAAAGCCAAATTTTACAACTTGATAGAATAAATGCCATAATACTCACCATCATAAAGTCCTCAACACTGCCATCTTCCTCCCTTGACCTAAACATAAAGTTCTTCATCATAAAGTCTCCATGATTCAAGACATTCCATGCTCCTTGTTCTGATACTGGTGCGTATGTCTTCATATTCTTCACAAAGAAACTTTCTTTAAATTGACTAAACTGTTCCGCATATCTCTCGAATCCCTCCCATTCAGGCATCATTTTGGTGAGATATTCATATGACTGCATACTGAGCATCTTCCCAGTCTCACCAGATTGGAAGTAAGTTGAGTTAAATTTTGATGCGTCGATCTTCTGCAAAGGAAGGAAGAAAGTTTTAGTTGATTTTTGATAAACTGAGCTCAAGTCGAGCTCAAGTTGAGCTTAGTCAAGTTGATCTCAATTCAAGCTTAGTCAACTTAAGTTTTGGTTGAGTATAGTCAAGTTGATCTCAATTCGAGCTTGGTCAAGTAAAGCTCAAGCCGAGTTTGGTCAAGTTGAGATCAAGTTGAGCTTGATCGAGTTGAGATCAATTCGAGCTTGGTCAAGTTGAGTTTAGTCAAGTTGGTCTCAATTCAAGCATAGTCAACTTCAGTTTTGGTTTAGGATTGTCAAGTTGATTTCAAGTCGAGCTTGGTACAGTTGAGCTTAAGTCGAGCTTGGTCAAGTTAAGCTCAAGTCGAAATTAATCAAGTTGAGATCAATTCGAGTTAAGTCAAGTTGGTCACAATTCAAGCGTAGTCAACTTAAGATTTGATTGAGGATAGTCAAGTTGATCTTAAGTCGAGCCTGGTCAAGTTAAGCTCAAGTCGTGATTGATTCGAGCTTAGTCACGTTGGTCTCAATTCAAGCTTAGTCAACTTAAGTTTTGGTTGAGTATAGTCAAGTTGATCTCAAGTCGAGCTTGGTACAGTTGAGCTTAAGTCGAGCTTCATAAAGTTGAGCTCAAGTCGAGCTTGGTCAAGTTGAGCTCAAGTTGAGCTTGATCGAGTTGAGATCAATTCGAGCTTGGTCAAGTTGAGTTTAGTCAAGTTGGTCTCAATTCAAGCATAGTCAACTTCCGTTTTGGTTGAGGATTGTCAAGTTGATTTCAAGTCGAGCTTGGTACAGTTGAGCTTAAGTCGAGCTTGGTCAAGTTAAGCTCAAGTCGAAATTAATCAAGTTGAGATCAATTCGAGTTAAGTCAAGTTGGTCACAATTCAAGCGTAGTCAACTTAAGATTTGATTGAGGATAGTCAAGTTGATCTTAAGTCGAGCCTGGTCAAGTTAAGCTCAAGTCGTGATTGATTCGAGCTTAGTCAAGTTGGTCTCAATTCAAGCTTAGTCAACTTAAGTTTTGGTTGAGTATAGTCAAGTTGATCTCAAGTCGAGCTTGGTACAGTTGAGCTTCAGTCGAGCTTCATAAAGTTGAGCTCAAGTCGAGCTTGGTCAAGTTGAGCTCAAGTTGAGCTTGATCGAAATGAGATCAATTCAAGCTTGGTCAAGTTGAGCGTGGTCAAGTTGAGCTTAGTCAAGTTGGTCTCAATTCAAGCATAGTCAACTTAAGTTTTGGTTGAGGATAGTCAAGCTAAGCGAAGTCAAGTTGAGTAAAAGTCGAGTGTAGTTGATAATTAACATCGTTTCAAACCTGCTCATCATGTAGATAAAAGGCTGCTGCATGATATTTTGCCAAATACTTCACAATTCTCTTCGATAGCTCAAAATCATCATTAACTGTCGCCGTTGCAGGTTTAAATCCGTTAACAGATACATCTTCAAGTATTATGACTGGCTTTGGAGTCATTGTTTGATAAATTAATCTACAATCAGAGAAATGATAAGCTATTACATTGATGTACGTCATTTATTATCCACATGACTTTATATTAAACTGATTATTAAGCAATGCTGTCGACTAATGTAAAGTTAAGGTGTACCTACTTTGGTCCCATAATATCTTTATACCCAGCAGACGTAATCAACTCCTGTACATGTCCCAAAACATTTGTAAAAAGTCCAATTTCATTTTCAAACAGCGTCGTGTCGTTCATATAAGCCATGTATGGTAAATCGATAGCTGCTGGCTGTGTCTTAATAATCACTGACATTTCCTTCTCATTTTTCTGATATTTTGATGTGAATTTGATTGATGCACGAAATACGGCACTAGCGAAATTTTTACCAGGCTCAGTTCCTGCTTTGATGTCAAAACTGGTGACTTTTGCTTGTGGATCGGACTCATAGGTTTGAATTGCTTTGTCAAAAAGTTCTTGGTTGAGCCAGGCTGGGAGGTCTTTGGTAAAATTGACTGAATCCATTTTATTGTTGACTATTGAAACTTAAATTTCGGCAGTGATGGAAGAGCGACGCGACAGCTAAACACAAACTGAGCTATCGAAATATTAGAAAATGAGTTTTATTTACAATTGATTCTCTCAAAAATTTGGCATATGATATGATTTAGAGAGAGTAAAATAATTGACCGAGAATTTTTTTTTGAGAAAATTTTATTTTTTTGGAATTTTTATTTTTTTTGACAGCTTTTTTAATTTTTTTCAGTGATCGTTGGAATTAGAAGTGATTTTATAGGATATGGCATAGTATCATAGTATGAGGCATAGCAAGAAGGAGGCCAAACAGAGAAGGACATCCTTTGTTGCCCTAGAAACCAGCTCACAACACCCTAGTTCCCCAAATACCCCTTCATCAAATATACTTCCAGTTCCTTCTTAGCAACTTTATGAAATCTTTCATTTCCGTAAGTTTTGATGCCGATTCCCTTCATGCCATCAGCCATATCTTCCATTGTTAATGTTTTCATGTCAAAGATCAGGAATGGATACATCACTAAACCGAAATGTGCTTGGAAATTTCCATTCTTAAGCATCTCAACTTGAAGATCAAGCAAAGATGGTGGCTGCTTTAGATATCCAAACTTCTTGAGAGCTTCAACAAATTGTTCGTGGTATGTGAAGAGGATTTCATCGTAGCGAGTTAGACGATCCTCGTCTGAAACAAAGTTGTAGAGAGTGTAGATGAGATCGATGGCTGGAGATGCATAGACGCAAATTTGAAAGTCGAGCTTCAAAAGAACACCAAATTGAATGATCAAATAGAAAAAAAGATCACAAGACTTACCATCATCAAGTCATCAACACCCTCGCCTTCCTTCTTCATTTTGTACATCAAGTTCTTCATCAGAAAATCTCCATGATTTAAAACATTCCAGGCTCCAGGTCCAGAACTTGGTGAGTACGTCTTCATATTTTTTTCCAAAAAAACTTCCTTAAAATGCTTAATTGGTTCAACAAACTTATCAAATCCACCCCATTCAGGCATCATTTGAGTAAAGTGTTCATATGCCTGTGCACTAAGTGCTTTTCCCATGTCACTGAATTGAAAGATTGTTGAGTTGAAGATGGATGCATCGATTTTCTGGAAAGGATTTAGATTTGATGGAAGAACTGAATTAAATTAAGCACAATCAAGTTGAAGTCGGGTTATGCATAGGCAAGTTAAGGTCAGGACAAACAACTTAAGTCAATTTTAGTTAAAAATCAAGTGAGTCAAGTCGATTTTAAGACAGGCAAATCAAGTTGATTTTAAGCATGCAAGTCTAGTTTAATTCAAGTTGAATCTTAATAATGCAAGTCAAATTAAGTTCAAGTTAAATAATCTAAGTTAAAATCAAGCAAGTCAAGTTGATTTCAAGTCACCAAAGTCAAGTTGATTTCAAGTCATCCATAAGTTTAGTTCAAATCAACCAAGTTAAGTTCTGCTCAAATAAAACAAGTCAAGTTTAGTTTAAATCAAGCAATAAAAGGTGAGCTTAAGTTGTGCAAGTCAAGTTAACTTGAATTTGGGCAAGTCAAGTTGAGTTCAAGTCCAGCAAGTCATGTTTTGCTCTAGTTTAGTTTGACAAATATTAAAAATAAATATATTTAAACCTGCTCATCTTGCAGATAAAAAGTTGCAGCATGAAATTTAGCCAAATACTTGACAACAAGCTTTGAAAGCTCAAAATCTTCATGAATTGTCAAAATTTCAGTGTCAAATCCATTAGTTGAAACATCTTCAAGTATTATGACTGGCTTTGGAGTCATTGTTTGATAAATTAATCTACAATCAGAGAAATGATAAGCTATTAAATCAATAAACGTCATATGTTATGCGGATGATTGCAAACGGAACTGATAACATTTTTGATAAGGAATCAAAAACGTTACTTACTTTGGAGCCATTACATCCTTATATCCAACTGACGTAATCAATTCCTGGACACGCCCTAAAACATCTGTGTAAACTCCAATTTCAGTTTCAAACAATGTCGTGTCCTTCATATAAGCCATAAATGGCAAATCGACTGTTACAGGCTGTGTCTTAATAATCATCGACATCTCCTTCTCATCCTTAGAATATTTCGATGTAAATTTGACTTTTCCACGGAATACAGCACTTGCCATGTTCTGACCAGGCTGTAATGCCGGTACAAGATCAAAGCTGTTGACCTTCGCTTGTGGATCAGATTCATAGTTTTGAATAGCTTTGTCGAAGAGGTCTTGGTTGAGCCATGTTGGAATTTCTTTAGTAAAATCAACAGCTTCCATATTGAAAAAAATCAGGAACTTAGCAGCACAAATGCGAAAGCCGAAAACGATCAAAACACACTGAACCGCAAAAATTCTCAATATTCACTTTTATTTATCATTTTTCAGAGAGAAATTTGAGAGAATCCGCATGCGTGAGACACAAATGACGATGATGATACAGTTATGCGGCGACTAAATGCTGTTCATGACTGGTTTTGTATACAAAAAAATTATTTAAAAATAGACTTAATATTTGAAGGTCAGCGAAGAATGTTTTCATTAAGTTTTTTTGAGGGGTCTGCGTAGAGTGAAAAATGTTTTGATAATTTTTTATGCAATGACTTGCGAAAAATGAATAGCATGTGATTAGATGATCTGCTGAAAAATATCTTGTTTATTTTTTATTAGGATGACGTTCGAGAAATTTAGTCTATATGAAGTCAGACATGCAAATAATTCCCAGTTAAACAAGAATTGCTAAAGACAAAAGAAAAGCCTTAAGAGAGGGGAAAAAGGGGAGGTGGAAGATGGGGAAGGGGGAAGATGGGGAAGGGGGGAGATGGGGAAGGAGGAAGATGGGGAAGGGGAAGAGGGGCTAGTTTCACATACAAAAACCCAAATTAATGAATATAATTTTTAAAAAAATTATTCTTTATTTCAAAAACCTAGAATTTTAGTCATTAAGGAACATTAAACTGTCATAACCTCAAAATAAACTCAAAAAACTTTTAATTTCCCAAAAATCCTTTACTCAAGAACATCGGCAAGTCCTCCTTTAGCACCTTCTTATATCTCTCATTCTGATAAGCTCTAGCTTTAAGTGCTGTTGGACCTGCAGCAAAGTCTTCAGCAGTTAAGGAACTCATGTCGACTAAAAGGAATGGAAACATGAATATTTCATTTTGTGCCTGTAAATTTCCATTTTTAAGCATTTCAACTTGAAGATCAAGTAATGTTGGTGGCTGTTTGAGATAGCCAAACTTTTTGAGAGCTTCAACAAATTGATCATGATAAGTTGCAAGAAGTTCATCGAATCGACCGAAGCGATCCTTATCAGAGACAAAGTTATGAAGCGTGTAGGTTAAGTCAATTGCTGGAGATGCATAGACGCAGATTTGGAAATCAAGCTGAAACAAATCGCAAAGTTTTAGCAAGTGTGACTGCATCAGACTTCAGTAATGTGGACCTTACCATCAAAATATCTTCAATTTTTCCACTTTCTTTGTCCATCTTATACAGCATGTTCTTGAAATGGAAGTCACCATGATTAAGGACATTAAAAGCACCCGGTCCTGTGTTTGGTGAGTAAGACTTGAGTGCTTTCTCCTTAAAGCATGTCTTGAAGTGCTTGATCGCTTCCACATAACGTTCACATCCATCCCAATTTGCCATCTCTTCTGTCAGGATCTCAAAGCTTTCATTGAACATCATGTCTACAATATTCTCAAACTTAAAGATGCAAGTGTCGAAAGATGCTGCATCGATTTTCTGTATTGAGGAGTTTAAGGATAAAGATTATAAAGTTTTAGTAATTTTAGGAACAAAACCAAACCTTTTCATCATCCAAAAAGAAACCAGCAGCATGAAACTTCGCTAATCGTCTCACAACCATCTTAGAAACTTCAAAGTCTTCATTGATTGAAGGAATCATCGTGTCGAATCCATTGACTTTGACATCTTCAAGCATTATGACTGGTTTTGGAGTCATTGTTTGGTATATTAATCTATAAAAAATACTTTATAAAAAAAACTTTTTAAAAAACTACGTTTTTCGCGTAGACTAAAAAGTAGAAAATAACTTTTATTCTTGGTTGTAAAGAATTTGGTTTTAAATTTTCAGATTATATTTAATAAATTTTTATATCCTAGTCAATATTGTTCACAAAGTTTCGAATAAGTGCACTTTGATCTTATCGTATAACTCAACAACTTAAAAACGTGGGCGCATTAATTTAAGTTTATCATAAAGTATTGATTTCACATAAACTTATTTCTCCTCTTATAATGCGCCCACGTTTTTAAGTTGTTGAGTTATACGATAAGATCAAAGTGCACTTATTCGAAACTTTGTGAACAATATTGACTAGGATATAAAAATTTATTAAATATAATCTGAAAATTTAAAACCAAATTCTTTACAACCAAGAATAAAAGTTATTTTCTACTTTTTAGTCTACGCGAAAAACGTAGTTTTTTAAAAAGTTTTTTTTTATAAAGTATTTTATTTTCTACTTTTTAGTCTTATTCTAATGAAATAGAGAAATAAAGATTATAGGGGGTTTATAGGTTACAGGTGTGTTGAACTCCACTTCGTTGCACTTCGTTACGTTCAACTGTTTATAGATTAGAGTAGGTTTATAGGTTACAGGTGTGTTGAACTTCACTTCGTTGCACTTCGTTACGTTCAACTGTTTATAGATTACAGTAGGTTTATAGGTTACAGGTGTGTTGAACTTCACTTCGTTGCACTTTGTTACGTTCAACTGTTTATAGATTACAGTAGGTTTATAGGTTACAGGTGTGTTGAACTTCACTTCGTTGCACTTCGTTACGTTCAACTGTTTATAGATTACATTAGGTTTATAGGTTACAGGTGTGTTGAACTTCACTTCGCTGCACTTCGTTACGTTCAACTGTTTATAGATTACAGTAGGTTTATAGGTTACAGGTGTGTTGAACTTCACTTCGTTGCACTTCGTTACGTTCAACTGTTTATAGATTACAGTAGGTTTATAGGTTACAGGTGTGTTGAACTTCACTTCGTTGCACTTCGTTACGTTCAACTGTTTATAGATCACAGTAGGTTTATAGGTTACAGGTGTGTTGAACTTCACTTCGTTGCACTTCGTTACGTTCAACTGTTTATAGATTACAGTAGGTTTATAGGTTACAGGTGTGTTGAACTTCACTTCGTTGCACTTCGTTACGTTCAACTGTTTATAGATTACAGTAGGTTTATAGGTTACAGGTGTGTTGAACTTCACTTCGTTGCGTTCAACTGTTTATAAATTACCAGTTTTCAATGGGAAATTAGTAACGACTTTCAAAATTTTTCATTCGTTTTATAAAATTTAATTTTTTTAAAGCATTCATTAGTAAAGCACATTAAAAATCACTCGTAAAGATTTTGTGTTTATCTGTACCATTTCTACTTCATAACGTGTGGATTCTTAACATAAAGATGCAAATCACATATGTAACGTATTTATAACGGATTTTCAGATTTAAATTCAATGAATATCATTTATATGTTATGCAAAAATACGTCAAGCCGTTAATAAAAAGAAAAGTCAATTTAATTAAATTGGTGAAGTGTTATAAATAATGCAATACATTAAAAACAGCATAAATTTATGCTCAAACTATGTGTGCTAAATGTACATCGCATATTAATAGTTATTTTGTATTAATTCGTAACGGATTTGTGCTTAACGGATTTTTTGAAAATTTAAATTTTCACTTACGAATATTCATGAAAAAATTACATGTCAATTTTTTTTGTCCTACCAGAATATCTTTAGCTGCTCAAATTTATAGTATAATTAATAATTAGTAATATTAATTAAACTATAATAAATCATATAAATGACTTTTGAGCATTTCAAGTATAATATTTTAAACAAATCAAAATTTTATATCATTGACATTGGATTTTTTTCCCATATAAAAAAGTTTTACTTAAATTGTACTATAATTAAGCATTTTTGTGTTTCCAAAGTGTTAAAATATTGTATTGTCACCGGGAATACATGTGCATTAAAAATTTGAGCTCGATTGGAGCAGTAGAAGTGGTCGAAAAATTGATCGCAAGATTTGAAATTTTTTGCAAACAAACAAACAAACAAACAAACAAACAAACAAACAAACAAGAAAGCAAGTTAAGAAAAACGTAGTAAAAAAAACTTTTTAAAAAACACGCTTTTATCAAAAAGACTAAAAATCAAAAAGTTTCAAAATAAAATAAGGTCACACTTTTAGCGAATCAGGATTTTAAAAATTTTCTTGTGACAACTAGAAATGTAACATAAATTTTTTTCAAAATATTGTGATTAAGTCCAAGAACACAATGACTCTTTAAGCGTGGGGCGTAATTTAAGGATGCATTTCTTAGTTCAACTAAGTTCCTAAGTAAGAGAAGCGTCAAATCTCAAAGCCCCACGCTTTTCGAGTCATTGTGTTCTTGGACTTAATCACAATATTTTGAAAAAAATTTATGTTACATTTCTAGTTGTCACAAGAAAATTTTTAAAATCCTGATTCGCTAAAAGTGTGACCTTATTTTATTTTGAACTTTTTGATTTTTAGTCTTTTTGATAAAAGCGTGTTTTTTAAAAAGTTTTTTTTAACATTTTTTTATTTGCTCCTTTGTTGGTCGCTTCGTTTTTATTCTCAACAACAGACTTAACTTCAAGAAAAAAATGTTATTTGTTTTTTAGTCTTCGGGAAAAAAGCGTGTTTTTTAAAAAGTTTTTTTAACGTTTTTTTATTTGCTACTTTTTAGTCTCAATCTTTTAATCGAATTTTGACCACAACAATTCAAATTCAACTCCACTTCGTTTCGTTCAACTTTTAATATATTCCCATTTTTTAGTGGGTAATTAGTAACGACTGTCAGGATTTTTCATTCGTTTTTATAATTTAAGTCATACCTGGAAACACATAAAACTCTTCCAAAAAATGTCCTGAACTTCAATTATGTGCGTTTTCTGTGTTTTTTAAAACATTCATGAGTAAAGAACATTAAAAATCAATCGTAAAGATTTTGTGTTTATCCGTACCATTCCTATTACATAACGTGTAGATTCTTAACATAAAGATGCAAATCACATCTATATGTAACGTATTTATAACGGATTATTCAAATTCAAATTCAATGAATGTCATTCATATGTTATGCAAAATTACGTTAAGCCGATAATAAATTGAAGTCAATTTAATTAAATTGGTGAAGTGCTATAAATATTGTAATACATTTAAAACAGCATACGTTTATGCTCAAATTATGTGTGCTAAATGCACATCACATATTGATAGTTATTTTGCATTAATTCGTAACGGACTTGTGATTAACGGTTTTTTTGAAAATTCAAATTTTCACTTACGGATATTCATGAAAAAATTACTTGTCAATTTTTTCCAAGGGGAAAGAACTGTGAAATCTTCCCGCTTTTAACCACATTTTACCGTGTTTAACCGTGTTTAACCACATTTTACCACATTTCACCGTATTTAACCATGTTTCCCCGTGTTTCACCGCATTTAACCGTGTTTAACCACATTTGTTAATTATATAGTCAACCATGTATTCTTTATATAAAAAAAATCTATAAAGTAAATCAAACATTTGTAGCGGATTTGTTATTTTTAAAAGAGTTTTAGTAAAGTGAAGATACCTTAATGATGTTTACCAATAAACAATTTTATTGAAATTTTATTGGAAAATGTAAGAAACAATCAGCTGCATTACAAAATCAACCGATTTAGCGATACCGTCAAGAAGATATCCTCTTACCTGTACATAAGAGGAGGAAAATCTTTATACAACTTTCTTCAAGCCAATATGGTATTGCCTGAGCTATGTGGTCTGAAAAGGTATATGAATAATGAGCTGAATATTGTCAAAGGAAACGTTTTAAGATTCGATGAATTGCACCAGTATCTAGCAGCTCACGAATACCCGTTTGAAATACATGTTTTCGAAGATGGCTCACGTATTACTAGTAAAGTCAAATTTTGTCCAGATACTAATACACTCATTGGCTTAGATTCACCATTTGATCCTTTAACTGGATTAACAGTGCCAGTAATACTTATAATTCGATCACAAAATATGAAAAGGTGTCCTATGTTCAAGTGTTGCTTGCACAGCCAAATATTCCTGTTGCAAAGACGTTTCTTCTTGGAGCATATTTCACAGACAACTCATTCACAGCAATCGACGTCATGAACCGTATAAACTATATGAAAAAAGAGTTTATTAATTACGGCATTAATTTTCTTGGATATGGTAGTGATGGGGATGCTCGGATGTTTAATGCGCAAAAGAAACTCATTAATTTTGGTGAAGTGACTATGTATGGATCGATTAAATTATGTGCTAATCTTGTGTCAGAAAATTTCGGCACACAGGACACGTTTCACATCCTCAAGAGATGGAAAAATCTTATGAATCAATTTTCAAGACTCATGCGTATTGGTAATTTTATAATAACTGTCAATCATTTGATTATAATGTATAAAAAATTTGACAAGGCATTACATGGAATAGTACAAAGTGATTTGGATGTAACTGATTTTATGAACTATGACTGTTTATACAAAATTACAAGTGAACGTGTTTTGGATCTCCTTCGGACTATGGAAAATACACAAGGAACGGTTTTATATTTGGAGTTGATTCAGTGTGGTTTAAAATCATTTGTGGAGCATGATACACCGATTTCTGAGCGTTTATTTAATGCCGTATATATGGTTAGTTTCTCAAGACTATGGAAGACAGATATCATCAACAAAGGAATGCAAAGTTAAAGTTCGCTCAAGCTGCTACGAAGGACTCGAAATGAATTTATTATGGCTTTTACGATTGGTTATTGACAAACGAGCTCACAACATATCTGACATGTCGCTCTTTAACTGGTGTTCAAAGTACACAAATTAACTGCATACCTAAAATATTCCTATCTCGTTTACACAAAATAGAACTGTGTGAGCTAAAGGATGAAATTTCATTTCCCGTTATTGAGCAACGTTAAGAGAGACACAGATGAGCCAATGATGACATTTCGAAGGAAATTGATATTAACATCGAGAGTGGAATCTTCGCAGCTATTGAAAAGGCAAGAGAAATTGGAATTTGTCATCAAGAAACTTCTTTAAGAGATTTGTTAAAGTCTTCTAGAAGACGCAATATATGTGAGAATGTTCAGTCTCGAACACACTTTGTTGCCAACCGGACTATTTCTGAATGGGATAATGAAGAACCCGAGTTGATCGATGAAACCCTTTCTTTTCAAAATTTCGAGTTTTTAAGTACAAGATCTGACGATAGATATATTTCAATTAAAGAGGGTAATTCTACTAAAATCATGAAAAAAGATCAATTAATTTGGATGCTAGAAAATAACAAAATTCATGTTAACACCGATATCCGAATGATACAAAATCAAAACGAAGACTTTTGGATAGCCACTAAAGATGCAAAAGGTGACAATATTTTAATGTTTGATGAAGGAAATATACTCTTTGGAAAAGTTTTAAACTTTAAACGTCTTCATATTCGGTCGAAAAGTAAATCAACTTACTATTAAGATTTTGTAGAAATTGAACATTGTGACAACATTGCTGCAATGCTGAATCCTTTATATTTCATTGAGAATGGACGGAGAGTTGTAATGGACATTGTTAAATTTTTTGAGTTTAAACTACAAGTGTCATGTAAATTTTAATGTAGATTTTTCGCAGCAACACATAGCTAGTTTCATTAATTCTTTTGAAGATGAGTAAAATTTAAATAAAATTTAAATAAAATTTTTTTACAAAGTTTTTGTTCTTTACATTTGCCTTAAATTCATTTTTTTTATAATATTTGTACATTTACCGTATTTAACCGCTTTTTACCGCTTTTAACCGTGTTTAACCACATTTCACCGTGTTTCACCGCATTTAACCGCTTTTCACCATATTTAACCGCTTTTAACCACAAGTTCTTTCCCCTTGATTTTTTCATCCTCCCAGAAAATCTTCAGCTTCTCCAATTATTAATATTATTAATAATTAGTAATATTAATTAAACTATAGTGAATCATATAAATGACTTTTGAGCATTTCAAGTATAATATTTTAAACAAATCAAAATTTTATATCATTGACATTGGATTTTTTTCCCATATAAAAAAGTTTTATTAAAATTGTACTATAATTAAGCATTTGTGTGGTTCTAAAGTGTTAAAATATTGTATTGTCACCGGGAATACGTGTGTATACAAAATTTGAGCTCGATTGGAGCAACAGAAGTGGTCGAAAAATCGATTGCAAGATTTGAACGTGACATACAAAGAAACCAACAGAGCAACTCAATAAAAAGCGTGTAAAAATTGGGATGGATTTTTAGTAAGCTGGTGAGATGATTTTTGGTTCAAAACTTCTTTTAAATCCCTGGACGAGCAAACATTCAAGGTTTTTGGAAGTTGATTATAAAATCCTCCGGAATTGTCCGTTTGAATAAAATAATGCGGCAAAACCTCAGAATACCGACCCTCCAGCTACAGTTCATATTTTTAATTCACAATTTAATTTTATAAAATCAGGGACCGGTTTTTAAGGCTTCCCGGGACACCTTAGAGTTGTAAGTACGGTCAAGTAAGCAGCAATTGTCAAGTAGCTTCAGATGTCAGCCTCAGATTGCAAACTACAATTTGTTACATGAGCCAGCATTATCGCAGATTAATTATATCTTTAAGCATTTAGAAGTGATAAGAACTTTAGATTAGACTAGTGATGGCCAACCTTTGTGCCGCGGCACACTAGTGTGTCTACTTGAAATATCCCACAAACAAAATGTTGTGTGCAATTTTAATCATGGCTTCGCAACAAAATGTGCTGTAGCTCAAAAAAGGTTGAACACCACTGGATCAGACTCGTTTTAAACATGATTGCAAGAATTTTTGACTAGATTTCAAATCAAGAGTTAAAACTGAACTTACTTAGGACACATGATGTCTTTATATCCAACAGATGTGATCAACTCTTGAATCTTCTCCAAAACATTCTCATAAGCTGCAATTTCCGTCTCAAACAGCCTAGTGTCTTTCAAATGCTCCATTCCTGGCATATCGACATTGACTGGTTGTGTCTTGATGATTACTGACATTTCCTTCTCATTTTTCTGATATTTTGAAGTGAATTTGATTCCTGCACGGAACACAGCACTTGCGAAATTTTCACCTGGCTGTGTTGCTGCTTTGATATCGAAACTTGTTACTTTTGCATGAGCATCTGACTCGAAGGTTTGAATTGCTTTGTCGAAGAGTTCTTGGTCGAGCCAGGTTGGGATATCTTTTGCGAAATCAATTGAATCCTTTGGAAAAATAAAATTTTTAAATGTCAAGTCAAGTGTGACGACCAACACCGATCAACGCGAACTGAAGAGCTCAAAAATCTCGACTAAACTCTTTTAATTCTCAAAATGACAATCTAAATGTTTTGACTGTGTTGAGGTAATTGACATATGTGAAGCATAAATACACAAACGTGATAAATCTTTTATTAACAAAAAAAACACAATTTTGGTTTAAAACAATTTAGATAATTTCTGTTGAGAGAGTTTGTTGCAGTTTCTCAGAGAATAAAAGAAAGAGTGAAAGGCACTGCTTGTCATTTATTAAGTTTTGACTAAAGATAGGGTGAATAGATATTTTTTGAAAAAATTGGGGAACTCTCCCCCAAATTACCCTTCTCCTGTTTTTAAGCCTGGAAGTTAAAACTTCTTGATTTTTGACTGACGTCATTTATTAATGATCCCCAATGACTAAAAGCATCACAGAATACAAACGGATTTAATTCTAATGAGTTGGCCAAAAGTGTAGAACTGAACAACAATGATCAAAATGTGATTAATCTTGGTAAGGTACAGGATCCTAAAGTATGGCTTAGTAGCGTCCTTCATTTTTATAGATTTTCAGTTTTTTTAATTCTAGTTCATTTTAAACTCTGCAGAGGCGTAAATGTGATGAAGATTTATCCTCAATGCCCTCAATTCTCTCAGTAAACATTAGAAATGCAGCATTTCTAATACTTTTCATTTCTGTTGTGCCTTGCAATTGAAAAAATGATCTTTGAAGTCTGTTTGAAGTTCTTCATCCTTTTTTGAATGGCTTCTTTTGTTTCTTTTGTGTCTCTTTGTTGACAATGAACTTTCACGCGACTTACAACTTCTTTGACATCCAGGTGGCTGTGATCAGTGCTTAAGTCAATGCAAAAGTTGTTCCTTAACTTCAAAGTTGTCAATTTCGGTAAATTATCAAAAACATAAGAATTGATAGTAAAAATAGGATTGTTGGACAAGTCAATAGACTCTAATTCCTGGTTGTAATGGAACAGCCTCACTGGAATCACTTGAATTAGATTTCCTTCAAGGCATAAGTAGGTTAAATTGTGAAAAGGAAGCAAATTTTGTTGTGTAATTCTTTTTAGTGATCCTTTCCTTATTGTGAGTTCGAGAAGATTTTTGAATATTTTGTCAAGTCCGAAAGGAAAAATTTGAATATTTTTATTGTTGGCATAAAAACTTGTAACATTGTTGTTGGTCATTGAGCTTTTGTGTCTTCCAGCGACATTATAGATTGTTGCTGAAAAGCCTGAATCAATATTAATGTCGTTTAGGATTCGGCATTGGTAGACTGTTTTGGGATGTGGTGGATGGTAGAATTTACAATTAATAATTGTTGATGATGACGAGTTCATTATTGACAGTAAAGGCAGCAAAAAGGAACTAAAATTATAAAAATAAATAAATATGTTTTTTTTACAATCATTTTATTGATTTTAAAAAATACTTTTCAAACTTAAAATTTATTTGTAAAGAAATTGAAATTATTTCATAATTTTAATTTTTTTTAAAATTAAAAAAAAGTTTAGTTTAAAATTCTAATCTAGATTTAAAAATATTATCCAATTTATTTTCAAACTCATTTTAATTTTTTTTTAAAATTCATTTTGAAATTTTTAAAATTAATTTGACATTTTTGTTAAATTCATTTCAATTTTAAAATTTTATTTAAATTATTTAAGTTTCATTTTAAATTTTTCAAAATTAAACTTATATTTTAAAACTAATTTAAAAAGCAGAAACTTTAGTTTTTATTCCAAAAATTTTGTTTGTAATATTTAAAGTTTAAAATATATTAAACTTACCACATATTTATTTTGTACATTTTATTTTAATGTTTTTAGTTGAAGTTCTAAAAGTTTTAAAATTTGGTTTTGAATTTAAATGAAAAATATTGAACTATTTTATTCTTGTAAGTTCGACAAACTACTTTAAACTGAGAGAAAATGCAGCATTTTATACTATTTTCTATGATTTGTTCTGTTCTTAATTTCATCATATAACTTTTTAATGATTTGTTTTTAATATAACAATTCCAGAGTTCCGTTCAATTTCGTCAGTCGACTGATAAGTTCCTGATTTTAATACAAAACGCTTTAAGCTTGTCATAGTTAGTCATTAGCAAGTTCATCCACTGGGATTTTCTAAAGCTGACTAAGTTATTGTTTTTAAGCGTTTTGATGAAATATTTCAAAAGATTAATATTTTTTAAAAATATATTTTGAAGAAATAACTCAAATTTTTACAAAAATAATCTGAAAATAAATGTTGAAAAAATTTAAAACAATTTTCAAAAAAAATTAAACATTTTTCAAAAATTAACTTATGTGGCTATAAAATTTAAAAATCCAATTTTTAAATAAAGAAAAAATACACAAAAAAAAATTTTTGATTCTTATTTTTATTTGCATTAAATCTGTATCTTAATTATGTTATAATAAATTTCTAAAAATATACAAATAACTTAGCAGCAATTTCAATAAAAGTTTGATCCAAAAAATGCTCAAAAAAAGTTTTAAAATATTTTAAAACTTACAATAATAAACAAATTTAACTTTTAGATTTTTTGAAAATTTACATTTTCTGATAAAGTTGGATATAATGTCCATAAAAAAGCTCATTTTGCGACTAGATGTAAATAATTGAAAATTTCATAACCTTAAACTTAATAAATTTTTAAATAATTTTGTCTTTTTTTTAATTTTATTTGCAAAAATTAATTTGAATTGAAGCAATATTTCACATTTTTTTTATAGGATTTTTGTAAACAATTTTAATTATTTTGACTTTATTTTGAACAAGTTTAAAAAAATTCAAATTCAAAAAAATTGAAATTTTTAAACTAAAATCCTTTTTTTAAGCAAAAATAAATTTTCTTAACTTTCTAAAAATGCAACAAAAGTTCAAATTTATGATTTTTGTTTTACTTTCTTTCGCCAACACCTCGACCTCGTCTCTTTATTCATACATATTGATAATTGTCCGTTGCTCTCAGCAGTGGTTCCACTTCTACTGAATCTTTGTTGTCGTTGTCAAAATCAGACCAGAAGAATGTCAACCAATTTTTATACTGTGGCTTTACAAGTCCGAAGAGTTTGCACTCGAAAAAGTCAATTAAGTTCTTCCATGGACCTCGATCGAATGGTGACTTTCCTCCTTTAGCTATGAAGTGGCGGTACCTAAAATAGTCAAGCATATTTTAATGTCAATTGTTTAATTATTATCAAAATGACTCAATTCCTCACCTATCCCTGTTCATTCTCTCATTCGTTGTCATTCCTAAGCACACAATCTGATATTTTTGACAAATCAACAAAATCGTAACCCAAATAAAGTGCAAACAAGCATTGAGCATAACCCATCCTATCCATGGCGTACAAGAATTCACAACTTGAAGAGCTGCCCACAGTCCATCCTCATAATTGATTCCACAAGTTGCTGTGTAATACATGAAACCTCCATACAACATCCACGAGCACATGATGATCAACATAAAGAGAAATCCAATGAAATGTATGTGATTTTTGGCGCCAATACAGTTACCGACCCAAGGACTATAATTAAAATAATTTAAATGGTTATTTAAAAATTTGAATTTTTAACACCTTTTAAAAATTTGAATTTTTAACACCTTTTAAAAATTTGAATTTTTAACGGATTTTTTAAATTTGAATTTTTAAACGGATTTTTTAAATTTGAATTTTTAACGGATTTTACAAATTTGAATTTTTAACAACTGCTCCAAATTTCAATTGAATTCAACTCACCAGTGATGATCCAGCCGAGCTACACACCGGTCACAGACACTACAATGCTTCGATCTCACCGGTCGCCTAACCAAACAAGCACTACAAAATGCTGATGGTTCAAATCCACTTCCACCCCTCTCAGACAACTCAATAATCGTTCTAAATCTCTGTTCCATAGTCGGTTGAATAATTCCAGGATCTCCGCGCCATGATTTAAGAAAGAAGTACCACAAGCCACCAGAGGATACGAGAAAGATGAAAGTCGTTAATGCCGGCACAATAGGTGAAATGTAGACAAGCCACGTGATATAGAACCAAAGTTTTGTTGCAAGATAAATACTAAGCGGTAACAATGTAAGGAGATGATCATCAAACATGATACGTCCAACAGTCGATGCAATAGCATAGAGACATCCACATAGGAATAACTTAATAATGAAATATGTGTCAACGGAAATAATCATGCCAGTAATGTAGAAGAAGATGAATGGAAGTGACACCATTGTCCACCATCTGAGTCTTTTGTCCATTGATAATCTCACAAGGCAGCGACGCCCGCGCTTAAGGTTGCTTTGTTGCTGCGTTAGTTCCTTCACCTTATCTAGTACTTTATCACTTATCCAAACGGAACCGATATGTGCTTGAAGCATCTTAAGTGGCGTGTCACCACGCATATTTGGAATGTCCATCGAAGATTTTTCTTTCAGTACGAGAGTATTTATGGCTATTGTATTGCGTGCAAGAATTGCCCAATGAAGAGCTGTATTTCCGTGCGTTGAGTCCATTAGATTTGGATTTGCACCAAGGGTTAGAAGGAGACGGACTGGATCAAGAGCTTGAACTTTCCAGGCAGCCTAAAATGATAAAGAAAATTTAATTACATATATTTTTCATAAATAGTAGCTACTTGCATACAAGTAAGAGCAACTTGAATACAAGTAGTAGCTACTTGCATACCAGTAATAGCTACTTGCATCCAAGAAAGAGGTACTTCCATACAAGTAATAGCTACTTGCATACAAGTAATATCTACTTCCATACAAGTAATAGCTACTTGAACACAAGTAATAGCTACTTAAATACAAGTAATAATTGTAAGGTAAATGTTAGCAACTCACCCACATCAATGCAGTCATTCCACCCCTATCCCTCAAATCTGCATTAACACCTCTAGCTATAAAGTACGCAACAAGTGCTGTGTGTCCAAATTGAGCTGCTAAATGAATGCAAGAACATCCTTCTGTGTCTCTTAAACTAGGATCAGCGCCAGCTTGCATTAATTGCACGCACGCTGACAAATGACCTTGTCTTGTTGCCCAATGTAGAGGCGTCGCATTGAGTTCACCTCCGACGGCATCGACTAAAAGCGAATAGTGAGATGAAATTAAGATGAATAATTTATTTTTAGTAATTCATGCGGAAAAAATGTACAATTAGTCTTGTTTTGGAATAAATGATGCAGTAAGTCTGTGTATTAAGATGAATTTTTAATGGTTTTTGTTATTCGTCAGTAAGTCAAGTAGTCAAGGTTGCATTTTTTGAGGTAACTTGTATGATATCTTCAATTTTAAATTATAAAATTTCTAAATTGATTCTCAAATCAGGATTTGCAACTGGAATTTTCATTTAGAACTGTCATCTTGACTTTCTATTCAGAACCTTCAACTTGACCTTCCAGTCAGGATTGTTAACTTGACTTTCCAGTCAAAACTGTCAAGTTGACTTTCCAACTAGAACTGTCAACTTTACTTTCCAGTCGAGATCGATATTTCAATAAATACTCACCAATAGCTCCACTTTCCAGCAAGTAACCAATGATATCCCTCCGATTATTAATAGCTGCCCAGTGAAGTAACGTCACCGTTTCACTATCTGGCTGATTCACATCCCACCCAGCTTCAACAAGCTCTCGCACCCTAGCAATCGCTCCATACTGTGTTGCTTTAACGATATCAAATCCTGAATAATCATGTTCAATAGGTAGCGATGCAGGTTCTTGTGAAATTAGTGGATCTGGTCGATCTTGTTCTGCACACACTCCAGCAGCTGCACATGTAGTTTGATACATAGTTTTTTTTTTGGAATTGGTTCTTTGGTTTGATTGGTTCTGAATAAACTTAATTAATGCTTAATGGCTAGACTACTTTATAAATGAGGTTAATGCTGTTTGATATTCTAATGCTGATGTGGATTTAATGCCTGGATTTTTGGTAGATTCTTGATTGATTTCGATGTTTGTTCTGTTTTGTTATTAAAAATTTGTTTAAGGTTACTTGAAGGGATTAATAAAGTTTGGTTGACAATGTTTTCAGTTGATGGCTTGTTGACGTTCCAGATGTGAATTCTAAAATTGACAAAAAAAAATTTTTTGGTTAAGTGAAAGTTTGTTAAAATGTTTAAAAATTGTTGAAAAATTAAAAAAATATATTTTGGTTGCTAATGATTCTGTTGCCACAACAGCTTCTTATTTGTAATTCTATTTCTGACATTTATTGTCCTATTCTACTTTTCTTGCTTTTTTCTGATTTTACCTTTTTGAATTTATTTAATTTGACATTTTTTATTTCTTTTTCTTTTACTTCTTCTGTGATTGATCTGAGTTTGAATTTCATTTCTTCTTTGATTGTTTAAATCTCAATGACAAAGTTTGATTGATAAAATTTCAATCTACTTGACCTTTTTGCATTCAATGCTGTCAATTATTGCCAAATCTTTAAGGATTCTTTACTTCTTATTGAAGGTATCAATGTCTGTAAATAGCGTCTGTGGGTTTCTTTTGTTGAATTGATTTGTGTGGGATTAAAGATTTATTTATTTTGATTTTCTATTTTTGCTATAATAGATTGAATTTTGAGAAGGTTTGGTTCAGATTGATAAGGCATTAAAATTGAATTTCAGATTTTATGACTTTAATATTAAATAAATTTAAGAATTTTAATTGTCTTATTTTAATATTTTAATTTTTTTAATGTTTTGAACTTGCCGGTATTATTCAAACTTCTTAACTGCTTATGACGTGCAATTTACACATTTTATTATTGACAAAGCTCAAAAAACTTTGTTCGAGTTGAAAATTTATTTTCCTCTTTTTCACTTTTATTTACATTTTCTCAGTTTGCACAACTTTTTACTTCTTTTGTTGACTTTTTCGCTTTTAAATGTCAAAAAAAAGATTTTTGCACTGTTATGGATTTTTTGCATTTTACCTTATTTTTGTTTAGAATGTTTTGATTTAGAAGTTCAACTTAAAAGTAGGATTTTATTGATTTCATGTCAAAAAGGTCAGACTTGGACATGAAATTGAAGCTTTGGATGAAAATTTGCACAATTTTAACCAGAAAATTAAATTAATTGAAGTTTTATAAGAATGTAAAATTTCTTTAAATATTAATTTCAAATTTAAAAAATTTTAAATTAATGAAAAACATAAAAAAATTTTTAAGGAAGTTAAAAACCATCAAAAGATCTTGAAAATAACTACACAAAAACATTGCAAAATTATAAAAAATTTAAACAGTTTAAAAAAATATAAAAACATTTAATAACACTTTAGAAGGTTCGAAAAAATTTTAAAAACATAAAAAATAAAATAAAAAAAATTTAAAAAATAAAAAAATTTGGAAAAAATTTAAAATAAGAATTTTTAGGAAAAAAAACTCAAAAAATGTTCAAAAAATAGTCTCAAAAACTAAATGTTTCAATCCAAATTTTAATTTTTGCCAGACCTAATGTATAGTGTCATTTATCACTATTGGAATTTTATCAGAAATAACTCCCAGCCTCTCAATAACCCCCCCCCCCCCCTCCCCCAAAATACAACATTTGAAAATATCTACAAAAATCACAAATGCAAATCACACCAATAATTAGTGTCAATTAACAACAAAATCACATGATAAATTAATAATTCCACTCACAGTCAAAACGTTCATACTGGAACTCAATTTTCAACTTGTCTCCTTAATCTTCAATTTTATTCCTAATTCGCAATTCACAAAATCGGCTTCCTTAATTCATCAACTTTTATCAACACAGACCTTTATTTCTTATCTAGTTTTTTTTTATCTAATTTTTTTCACTTAAATCACAAATTTTTTTTCCTCACAATTTGTTTTCGGCAATATTTCGTCTAAACTTCATGGAATTTTGGATTAATTTTAACTTTACAAGTCAGAGTTGATGAAAGTCTCGCGATTTTCACGACTTTTCACGCAATTCTTTGCCGTTTGAGGCTTAAAAACTAATTTTTTTCATTTTTTTCATTTACTTTTTTTCGGTGTTGAATGAGAAATAACAAAATTTTTTCTTGACGTCTGTCAATTTGCTTTTTTGTGTGTCGAGTTTCGATTGTCGAATTTTTGAATTTTTAATGTCAGTTATGGTTAAGTATGTAATTTCGTAGCTGGTTAGTTGATTGTATTAAAATTGATTAAATTAAATTTTGAAGCCAACAATAAATTTAAGGATATTCAGTAAGGGACAGTCTAGTGCAGTGGTGTCTAACCTTTTTTGTGTCACAGCTCAACTTCGTGGTAAGCTATGACCAAAACAGCACATGGTTTGAGGAATTTATGGAATAGTTTACCATGGCACATGAGTCAAGTGTACCTGGAAGTGGGTCACTGACACATCGTGCGACAAATCCCAAGGAACGAAAATTGTTCTCTTGACGTTTAGGTTCATAAGAAGGTAATTTAAGGTTTGTTCTACTCTAGTAACCTAAAAATCAATATAAGTCTAATGTTAATGCCTAAAATTGGCAAGAAAGTCATCCACAAATTGAAAATTAAATGCTCCACTAAAATAGAGCAGTTTTAATTGCAGCCTAAAGTATATTTTATAGATTTTGAATTTTAGGAAGCACTTAGCCAGGAGGATCTTGTCCTCTCATTAAAAATTTTGAACCGCACCAAAAACTCTTAAGGGGGTGGTAAGACCCTCTTGGCAAAGCGCCTGTGAGTCAGTAGGTAGAGAATAGCCAGAAAACAACCTCAGTCATTTCATTAATCATTATTGAGACCTTTGTTGCAACGGTTATAGTTATGAAACCGTATAGAAGGCGTTATATGGTTCTGTGTAGGGTTTTAAAACGCTAGAATAGAAATAAAATCTTATTTAAGCGTGCTTAGCAAAAATTAAGCCAAATTTAGAAGAATTAAGGAGGAATTGTGAGTTAAACTATCAAATCTTGACTAGCTTGATTTTAATTTTTACATTAAAGCTGTTTATATTCATCCTCAAGCTTACAATCATCAAAAAATACAAAAATAATTTTTCCAAATATTTTGATCGAAAGTTCATAATATCAAGAAGATCCAGTGACATTTTTAGCCAATAGAATTGATTTACGAGAATTTAATTGAATTAGTTCTTCTTAATAACCGAATTTAGACCTTTCTGTTGCCTAAAATGACTCAATTAAGTATTCCACGACTTAGAGGACTATCAGTAGGCTTGATAACGACACTAGGTGGCATAACAATCATGAGCTGCACAAATAAAGTTTGCTGTGGATTTTCCCTTACTTTCAGTGGTGTCTTATTGACTGTATCAGCTTATAAGAGCAACAAAGCTATGTCTGTATGTGAATTGATCAAAAAAATTACAATTTATGGCGCAATGGGCTTATTTGTTTGGAAGCTTGGGAATTAAGGATCAATTTGGACAGAATATTTTATTGTTTTAGCAAATAGCTCACCTGTTACAGCTCCAAACATTAATATCAACTTATCCACAGAAGTTGAAAGTTTGAGCTTAGCAGGTGCAAGCGTAGCTCCTGTTATTGTCTACCAAAGCATTCCTGGTTCTAAGTTTGGTGTTGTATTTGGCAATTTTGTTGTTAACACACTGCGATTGTCAAAGCATTCAGCTGTTTATAGTAAAGTAGTGTTCACTGGACTTATGCTGTACAAATTGCGATAAGTTCAAAAGTTCAATATTTTATTAGATTTTATGTTTCATATTATGTAATTTTAACAAAAGTTTCAATAAAATATTTTTAACAAAAATATCAAAAATAATTCTCGACAGTTTTCAGCACCCTTGGACACAAAGCTTTCCCCAACTCAACATATGCAGCACTAGAATTAAAAGTCATTTTGTAATTTTTGTTTCCAAATTCCTGCATTTTGTTCCAAATATGAATAAAATAAGATTCTGACTGTTGAACTCTTTTTAAAGCTTTTGTGATTCCATCTTCCGTGTAGAACATGCTGAACTCAGGATATCCAATTGGATAGCACTTTCTGGTCGGCATGATTGTAAAGTCATTGCATTTTGTGTATTTATCGACTTCAATGTCTTTGTTTTGACAAAATGATCTGACTGAGTCTGAGAACATCATTGGTCCATTTACTGGAAGTACAATTAAGGAGTTGTAAGTCAGCAATAATAATCCAGGCTTAGAAACAAGGAATAAGCCAAGGTTAAGATTCTAATAAGTCAAACTTCAGTTATGCTTCTAAATTATAATCCCTAGTTTGGGCAACCCAAGTCAGAGTCAAAGTCAAGAACTTGAGTCCTTTGGCTAGTTTCTAAAGCTATCCAAGGCAGCAGGCACGTAGCCACATGGGTCTTGTCCCCTTTTTAAGCGTTTTAGGCCGTGCTCTTGCTCCGGTAGTGCAGGCTAAGCGCCTGCAAGGCAGACTCAAATTACAGAAAACTCTTTTTTTATGCAACGGAATTTGAGAGACTCTACTCTACCTTATAGTATGGAATTTTGCAATAAAAACTAGCCAGTGGTGTCTTAACTGTGTGCCGCGGCACACTGGTATGCCGTAGAAAATTTTTGGTAATGACGCAAGCCACATGCTCTATGCGACTTTGGTCATGGCTTACCCCTAAAGTGTGCCGTGGCACAAAAACTTTTGACAACACTGAGCTATGCTTTTAAGAACTAATAAGTCATATTTTAAAGAATACATGGCACCAATAACTTACCTGCCCAAACATTCGGATTATAAGATGCATTAAATTTCCTTAAAAATACAAAATTAATTTCAGTAATTCCAATTCTCATCACAACCTACTTTAAATTCACATCAAACACCTTCAAACCTTTCCTATCAATATGAATGACAGCATTTCCAAGCAAATTCTTCTCTTGAGCGCAGGCAAAATTAGAAATTTCAATAGTTGACGAACTAATCAAAGATAAGACATCAAGATCTAGATACAATCCAGGATATTTGCTAAGAATCAAGGTCCGCATAGCATCTGACATATGTTCAATGTGATATTTTGATCCCAAGATGATGTTGCTCTCGATTAAGTGCTCAATTGCTGAACCTTTCGAAAATTCGTACGGATTAAGAAATCTAAAGTTGATGTTCTTGTAGGACAGAAGGACTTTGGTAAGTTCTGAGAATTTAAGTGACACTGATGTCGAATTTGTGAGGAGAATGAAGTAAACTTTTGCGTTGGGGTTCGTTAGGGCTATAAAAATAAAAAAAAAAATCAGTATGCAGTTTGGTCAAGCTAGGTAACCCAACCGTAAGTTGTTCTTATATTTCGTAAATGCTAAAGTTGTGTCAAAGTTTGCCATGACCAGAATTCACACAGACCACACTTCATTATTGCAAAATATACCAACCATTCCTTAGTAAACATTCATACCTGCTGACTCAACTGAACACGCCTGCCTTGGTTTATCAATAATCCTCACTTGCTCCATGTGAGTTTCAATAAAAAATATCTTTCTAAATTCATCATTTTTCAAAAATTCATCATCATTAAGGAAGTTTTGAATTTTCAACAGTTTTGGGGTTAAAAAGTTTTTAACACTTGCATGCTCATCATGGACTTGCTGATTTGATGAAAGACTTTGAACACTTTCATGATTGTTGGAGCTTGATATTATTAGAAGCAAAACTATCAAACAAAATATACAAAACATAAAATATTGCCAACGGTTAGGTTTTGTAAGTAACATCTTCAAAAACTACTTTTCAATTAAAGCATGTAACAAAACAAAAATGTAGTTTTTTGTAATTTTTTTTACAAGATGATTGATAAGACATTGTAAATTTAAGTTTTAGTCATTTTTCGAATTAACATTTTAGGCGCATTGTTGTTGTCTTCGTTTTCTGAAACCTAGTAGTTTGAATCTTAGTAGTTTGAATCCTAGTAGTTTGAATCTTAGTAGTTTGAATTCTAGTAGTTTGAATCCTAGTAGTTTGAATCCTAGTAGTTTGAATCCTAGTAGTTTGAATCCCAGTAGTTTGAATCCTAGTAGTTTGAATCCTAGTAGTTTGAATCCTAGTAGTTTAAATTCTAGTAGTTTGAATCCTTATAGTTTGAATCTTAGTAGTTTGAATCCTGGTAGTTTAAATCTTAGTAGTTTGAATCCTAGTAGTTTGAATCTTAGTAGTTTGAATCTTAATAGTTTGAATCTTAGTAGTCTGAATCCAAGTAGTCTGAATCCTAGGAGTTTGAATCCCAGTAGTTTGAATCCTAGTAGTTTGAATCCTAGTAGTTTGAATCCTAGTAGTTTGAATCCTAGTAGTTTGAATCCTAGTAGTTTGAATCTTAGTAGTCTGAATCCAAGTAGTTTGAATCCTAGTAGTTTGAATCCTAGTAGTTTGAATCCTAGTAGTTTGAATCCCAGTAGTTTGAATCCTAGTAGTTTGAATCCTAGTAGTTTGAATCCTAGTAGTTTGAATCTTAGTAGTCTGAATCCAAGTAGTTTGAATCCTAGGAGTTTGAATCCCAGTAGGTTGAATCCTAGTAGTTTGAATCTTAGTAGTTTGAATCCTAGTAGTTTAAATCTTAGTAGTCTGAATCCAAGTAGTTTGAATCCTAGGAGTTTGAATCCTAGTAGTTTGAATCCTAGTAGTTTGAATCCTAGTAGTTTGAATCCTAGTAGTTTGAATCTTAGTAGTCTGAATCCAAGTAGTTTGAATCCCAGTAGTTTGAATCCTAGTAGTTTGAATCCTAGTAGTTTGAATCCTAGTAGTTTGAATCCTAGTAGTTTGAATCCTAGTAGTTTGAATCTTAGTAGTCTGAATCCAAGTAGTTTGAATCCTAGGAGTTTGAATCCCAGTAGTTTGAATCCTAGTAGTTTGAATCCTAGTAGTTTGAATCCTAGTAGTTTGAATCCTAGTAGTTTGAATCCAAGTAGTTTGAATCCTAGTAGTTTGAATCCTAGTAGTTTGAATCCTAGTAGTTTGAATCCCAGTAGTTTGAATCCTAGTAGTTTGAATCCTAGTAGTTTGAATCCTAGTAGTTTGAATCTTAGTAGGTTGAATCCAAGTAGTTTGAATCCTAGGAGTTTGAATCCCAGTAGGTTGAATCCTAGTAGTTTGAATCTTAGTAGTCTGAATCCAAGTAGTTTGAATCCTAGTAGTTTGAATCCTAGTAGTTTGAATCCTAGTAGTTTGAATCTTAGTAGTCTGAATCCAAGTAGTTTGAATCCTAGTAGTTTGAATCCCAGTAGTTTGAATCCCAGTAGTTTGAATCTTAGTAGTTTGAATCTTAGTAGTTTGAATCCTAGTAGTTTGAATCCTAATAGTTTGAATCCTAATAGTTTGAATCCTAGTAGTTTGAATCTTAGTAGTTTGAATCCTAGTAGTTTGAATCCTAGTAGTTTGAATCCTAGTAGTTTGAATCTTAGTAGTTTGAATCCTAGTAGTTTGAATCCTGGTAGTTTGAATCCCAGTAGTTTGAATCCTAGTAGTTTGAATCCTAGTAGTTTGAATCCCAGTAGTTTGAATCCTAGTAGTTTGAATCCTAGTAGTTTGAATCCCAGTAGTTTGAATCCTAGTAGTTTGAATCCTAGTAGTTTGAATCCCAGTAGTTTGAATCCTAGTAGTTTGAATCCTAGTAGTTTGAATCCTAATAGTTTGAATCCTAGTAGTTTGAATCCCAGTAGTTTGAATCCTAGTAGTTTGAATCTTAGTAGTTTGAATCCTAATAGTTTGAATCCTAGTAGTTTGAATCCTAGTAGTTTGAATCCTAGTAGTTTGAATCTTAGTAGTTTGACTCTTAGTAGTTTGAATCCTAGTAGTTTGAATCCTAGTAGTTTGAATCTTAGTAGTTTAAATCCTAGTAGTTTGAATCCTAGTAGTTTGAATCTTTCTAGTTTGAATCCTAGTAGTTTGAATCTTAGTAGTTTGAATCCTAATAGTTTGAATCTTAGTAGTTTAAATCCTAGTAGTTTGAATCCTAGTAGTTTGAATCCTAGGAGTTTGAATCTTGGTAGTTTGAATCTTAGTAGTTTGAAACCTAGTATTTTGAATCCTAGTAGTTTGAATCCTAGGAGTTTGAATCCTAGTAGTTCAAGGCCTCTATTCTTCGCTTTCTCTACCTCAGCACGATCTCTTGTCTTAAAATCATACCAGCAATCTACATGACTCCCAAAATGCACCGAATGTTATTTAATAGATAAAAATATCCACTCTAAATGTTAACTTTATATTAAAATGCGTTAACATTATTAGTTTTCAAATCTAGCTCTTATCATTTAATGCTTTATATTTGTTTGTTTCTTTTTTTTTATCGATGAAAAAAGTCAAATGTTGTGTAAAATAACAAACAAGCTCATTTGTTTTTGATACTTGTAAGCTATTGGAGACATATTCCGGGGTATTGTGTGTTGGTTTACCGGGAAATAAGGTTACACGGATGTTTGATGTCAGAATGAGAACTTTTTGAGGTCAATTAGTGATTAAAGCATCTTAAGCTTTAATGGATGAGAAAAAAAAGTCTAAAACCTTAAATATGACTTGCTGGACATAAGAAATTTAGGAATTTTGCATTATAAATTGTCTCAATTGATAGCCAGCCTAATGAAAATGATCTTATCAAATTTAAAATATGACAATAGTTCAAAAATATTTAAACATTTAGTTTTTTTAAAAAGTGTTCATTAACATTCATTGCATGTCTTAATGATGAGTACCTTAAAATGTAAGATTTTATATTATTTAAAATTGAGTTTTTATTTAATAATTTTTATCACTTTCAGTTCTGTCGGGATTCCTTCTTCTAGTGCATGTTGCGTCATTTTCACTGTAATATTTAAATTAAGTTTTTCATTTAATTTTTTCAAACAAAATTTTATATTAAAGTTTTGCAGTTTTTGAATCTCAAAATGATGATAATATTTGTGATGGAGGGACGTGTTGTAACGAGTGTATTTGCAGTCAGTGTTTGATGCCTTTTATATGGATATGTCCACCGAGGTATGTAATGTCTTATCATATAGGTTTGTAGCTACTGAAGATCTCCTTCAGGAAGCTTATATAGTAAGGGCGTATCTAGGATTTTGGAGAAGGGGACAAAAATTTTTTGTATGAAAAAGTTTAGGGGGGGGGGGGGGGGGGGGGTACTTTTGCGAATCTATATAATATTCTTTCACATTTGTAGTAATTTCTTTCCAGTGATTTCCGCCTAAGCCACGCCCTCTTTTCAGTATCGTAAAATTTCAAAATGGCGGATTGTTTTCAATATTTATTGCTTTAGTAAAAAAATTTAAAATGGTGGATTTTTTATTTTGGTGAAATTCATAATGGCGGATATATTTGATAATTAAAAAAATTAATCAATCACGAGAATTGATATTTTCCCGCCTAAATTGTTTACCGGATTTTTATATGATTTATATAATTTATATGAATTTTTTCCGTCGTGCTTGACGGGGGACTATACTAGTTTTTCATAAAATCCCTAGCAAATGAAGAAGTTTCTGATGATGAAGAGGAATTTGTCCCCCAAATTGCCCCCTATAGCTCCCCTCCTGTTATATATCATTGATGTAGCCAGGACGCTCCACGCAGCCCTACCCCTAACCCTTTAAGCTTAAGACATCAACCCTAATCTGCAATAATAATTCATCTTTAAACTTCCTAAACATAGATGCGGTCCAGGATGCTGTGGAGGAACTGATTGCTGTAATGGATTAAGTCAATTTGAATACTTTAATTTTTAAAAAAAATATTTATTTTTTGTACTAGTTTTTTTAATTATAAAATTTAATTATTATATTTTTGATCAATTTTTAAAAATCCTAACCTAAATTCAAATTAATTTTTCCATTTGTAAAGATTTTGAGCTTTCTTATAGCTTCTCCCATACCAATTATAATTTGATCCTTATATTTATACAAAGTCGTGTCCCCAACTGGATGTAGCAATGATTCCTTACACTCATCAGTTGAGCATTCATGTCTATAATGTGACAACTGTCCATCTTCTCTGGCAACCTTGAAATTTTCACACCAATTCTTGTTGCTGTTATCGATACATGAGAATGGAAAGTGATTGTGGATTGTCAGCACTCGATCCGTTCTTAAGAATGTTTTGGCATTGCCACCATTTGGTGTAAAGTTTGCAGCTCTAAAAATATTTGAAAGGAAGTAAAGATTTTGTGGAATTCCAGGTATGGATGTAAAGTTATTAAACGGAGTTTTGAGCAGGAAGTAATGATTGTCAACTTGAAAGCTGTCAGCAAATTTGTGTTGTTCTAAAGCCTTCCATGCTGTACGATTCAGCAGGTCTGCCCAATTATTGTCTTCAGGTCTTAATGGAATGATAAACTCATCTGTGTCCATTGGAAGTACGAAATCATAGCTGTATAAATTCTCATAAAATGTGTCATGATAAGCAATCAACTCATTCTGCATCCTCTGATGCCAATTGTCTTTTTCAGGCAAGCTACTTGGATATTTTATAAGCTTAACATTTGCAAATCCTTCAGCCTCGTAGAACCTCAAGACATCCATTACATTATTATGGACATTAAGGACCGAAAATTCAACTTTATTAGCTCCCAAAATTTTAATTATTTCACACCATTCAATGATCTGCATGGATATATCCTGAACATAGTCAAGCTTCTTGACGCTCACGATGAATTTTTCCTTAATTTTTGGACGCTTATTTTTCACTTCCAACAGATTATTAGCCTGATCACATTTATGCTCAACTATTGAGACATATTTTGGAGCTTCTGGGAGTGGACTAAGACATGATATCAAGTATGGTGTGGCACCTTTCTTATTCTCACCCCATCCTAGGTACCAAATGTATCTGTACTCATAAACCTCAGTGATTACTGGCTCTACTAGGTTTGCGTACCAAAATTGACAAAAAGTTTTGACTTTTGGGAACAGGACGTCGATAAATCCTAGGATTCTTACAACTGGTGGACCCATTAGGGATATCCGGTCATCATAGTAAGCATTGTAGAGATAAAAAGTTCCATTTGATGTGCTTGTGACTTGCCAGTAGATGTCTATGATGTTTAAGTCTGTTGGTTTGTTGAGTTTCGGGCATTTTTTAGTGGAATTACTGGTAGTGCTAGGTTGCGTATTTAAATTAGATTGAATCTGTGAACTAGGCTCAATTTTGGCACCAACTATCGATTTTTCATCAAAATTCTCAAATAATTTTTTGAATTTTACTTCAGCTTCTTTTAGGTGTGATTCTGATGATTCTGATGAACCTGTGAGTTTGATAGACTCTGATGAATGATTAAGTTCTGTCGCTGTTTGATTATCCTTCTGATCAATAAGACCTTTGAAGTTAAATGTTAAATATTGATCAGATGACGATATGGTGACTAGGACAACATAAATGAATAGCAGGAGCCCAAGCAAAATTATTGGAACTTTTCTACTGTATTTTATTGGCTTTAAGGTTTGGTCTAGTGATGATTGACGAGAATTCCTGTAAAATGGTATAATAAATTATAGATTTGGACTAGGTTTTTGAGTAAGAACGAGGATATACAGCTTGATTTCACAGTTGTTTAAGCTGTCCGATTGCGCACTTTTGAGTTCGGCTTTTTTGAAAAATCACGCAATTTTGAAGCTAGTTTTTTTTAAAAATGATTGAAAATATGGTTTGTCCTCTGCTTCAGAGCTGCCATCGAGTCATGCCCCGTTTTTTGATCGAAAAATTGGCAAAAACCGATTAACAGCCTAAAATTGATGCAACCTTGACTTTGACTATGCGAAAGTCATTGGAAGAAAACAACTCTAATTAAATTGAAATAAATCTTTCTAAAGCAATTGCAAGCTTAAAATTGACAACATTCACTATTAAAGTTGATTGCGTATGTTAGAAAGATCGACATAATGATTACATCCCATTTCATACAGTCACAGAAGGTCAAACAATGTAACAGAGGAACACCACGTCGACATTACAACAGTTTGAACTGATGAATTGGATTTTGACTATTTTTTGATCATTTTGGTCACTTCCACACACTTTTTAAAACTTTATTTTTTTTTCATATCCATTAATTTTAACTTAAGCGCTTACTTTTTCATTTTTATTCCAAAATTTATAACATTTGACTAAAAACTATTAAACACAATCGAGCACCTTTACCTACTCTTTTAAACTATTTCTATCAATGATAAATGTCTGATAAATAGCAGAGCAACTAAAATAATATCATTACATATTTCTCTGTAAACATTGTAGTAAGTTTTATCAAATGTTCCTTTTAATGTACAGTAAAAAGCTGTTGTACATGCACGCGTAACTTTGATTAGTGATTTCTGTGATTTCTTTTGTGATAAAATTTATTTAAGTAATAAGTGCGTAGCAAAACATCTAGGACTACATGTGGCACCCTAATCTAGTCTCCCATGTATCCTATATTGTGATGTATCGTATTTGAATCATATTCAATCGTTCCACAGAAACCCAGTAAAAGAATCTAAAGCTACCATCAAATCCACCATTTTCACACAAAATCTGACAAAGGCCCTTAGAGTCCCAAATAGCATAAGTCGGTTAATTGAATTGAAATCCGGCATTACTCTGGTGTGGTGCTAGCTTCGATATAAATCCAGCACTATACCGTTTAAATCAGTGTTGTCCAAACTTTTTGAGCGACGGCACACCTTAGAGGTGAGTCATGACCAAAGTCACACACAGCATGCGGCTTATATAATTTCCGAAAAACTTCTAATTCACACTAGTGTGCCACGGCACAGTACAATAGATTCTATCATCGATTAGGATCGCAGTGCTTCCATGCTTGTCGCAACGTGAAGTAACACACCCGAATGGCACAAATTGGTTAATCGAATAGAAATCTGGTGCCTAGCAAGAATGACTCTGGCATGGTGTTGGCTTCGATATAAATCCAGCACCATGCCAGAGTGACACCAGCTTGGTGCCGGATTTCTGATTAATTAACCGACTTGTGCCATTCAGGACATCGCTTGGCTAGAACCCTCTCACATTATTATTAGTGTGCCGCGGCACTCTATTTGCACAACACTGGTTATAATTAATCTGGTTGAGCAATACTCTTCTGCAAAGACATATAAAAGTTTAAAAAAAAAAAAACAAAAATTTTAAATTAAATTAAATTTTATTTTTCTTTGTTAGAGTTTTAAAAAAATAATAATATATTAAAAAATATTCGTCAACATTTCTTTCTCAATTTTACAAATAAAGTTTTTTTTTCTTTTTCTTTGTCAATTTTCAATACTTTTGGTTCCATCACCAGTTTTGTTAAATTAAGTCAATTTTCATCTCATTATGCTTTCTTTTATTGTTTTAACTTTATCTAGTCTTAGTTTAAATGAGTCACTGATAAATGAGGTTAGGTTTAATATTATTGATTGGTTGACCTCATTTCAGCAGAAACTTATTTTGATGTTTTTTTGTATGGATTTTTGAGAGGATTTAAAAAAACGCTTTTTTATATTTTTGAGGTTAAAAATTTCACTTAATTTCACTTAACTTTAATCTTTGAGATTTTACCAACAAAATTTCAAAAAATTAGAATTCTAATCTAAAAATTTCCAAAAAAAGGAATTTTAACCTCGAAGTTTTCCAAAAATTCGAACTTTAACCTCAAAATATTTAAATGATCGAATTCTTACCTCAAAATTTCAAAAAAATAGAATTATAACCTCAAAATTTCAAAAAATAAGAATTCTAACCTTGAAGTTTTCCAAAAATTCGATTTTTAACCTCAAAACTTCTAAAAATTCGAATTTTAGCCTCAAAATTTCAAAAAATTAGAATTCTCACCTCAAAATTTCCAAAAATAAGAATTTTAACCTCAATGTTTCCTAAAAATTCGATCTTTAACCTCAAAATTTCTAAATGTTCGAATTTTAACCTCAAAATTTCAAAGAATTCTAACCTCAAAATTTTCAAAAGTAAGAATTCTAACCTTGAAGTTTTCCAAAAATTCGAACTTTAACCTCAAAACTTCTAAAAATTCGAATTTTAACCTCAAAATTTCAAAAAATTAGAATTCTTACCTAAAAGTTTGCATTTAAGATTCTAACCTACAAAATTATTAAAGTTTTTTACTCTAAATATTCAAATTCCTCCAAAAATCTTTATTATTTTAATCTCATCTTTATCAAAATTCTTACTTTTTAAATATATTTTCCATAATTTTTTATTCTCTTAATTTTAGAAGATTTTCTTCATGAAAAACTTAATACTTTAACTTAAATGTCATCGAGATAAATTCAAAAATATCTTTTAAATGCAAAAATACAATTATGCAAGTGACATAACCTCAAATATTCTTCAGTCATCAATTTTATCGACAGCCCAGCTTGCAAAGTGATTAATTTTTGGCAAGGCAGTTTCAGTAAGGCAAATTACACTATTGTGGTTTATTTTGAAGCAATTTTAAAGTTTTTTAATAAATATTTTCTATGGGGGTCGTTCATCAGTGACGTCTGGGTTACCAATAACTTAACGAAAGCTTATATTAACCTTAAACGTATGAGATGTGATCCAATTTAAACAATTGAGCTTTATTTTACCCTAGGCGATAGTTTTTAATCTACCAGCCCTCTGTTCAAGTATCTCCTTAGGCACCATCTTAACTCCAACGTCAAAACTGATCAAACCTCCCCAAAATAAGTCAAAATTTCTTAGTTTTTTTCAATAATTATTTAAGTGTAAATGTCTTCTATTCAAAAGTATCACCAGGCTGTCCAGTTCCTATCCTACTTAACTACTCCCTTCCCCCTTATCCATCTCAACACCCAACTCCCTCAATCCGTCAAATGTCACTTCCTATAAAATCTAAATTCAGTCCATCATCGCCATCATTAAATAAATTAGAATTCAATTGCTGCCCTCCATTTCCCGTATCCATATTCATTCCCATGTTCATGTCATTGCCACTTTGTGCTCTCAAAAATGCTTGAAATTCAGCATCACCACGCATTCCTGCAAGTCCATCTGAATGCCCCGTTTGATTATCGTAAAGATATTCGGAACTAGCACTTTTAAAGAGTTTCTTTTGTCTTTGTTGCTCCATAAATTTATGTTGTTGCTGTTGCTGAATGCTTGTGTAAAATTTATGTTGATGTTGTCCAAGCTGTCCAAACTGTCCCATATCCATTGTCGGTGATGGAGCCATTGGATGACTTGGTGTTGTTGGTGCTGATCTTGGATGGATCTGATCATCAGTCAATGGTTTATCGTCAGACTTTGCACGAGCTGAAAGCTTTGGAATTTGGAAGGATTTCATTAAATCAACTCGAGGTGTCGGTGACGGAAGGTTTAGCATATTTTTCAGCATATCATTCGATGACGAGCTGTTGCCACTACTGTAAAATGGACTCATTGATGATTCCTTTTTGGATGCTTTGCTGGGCTGCGATGTTGATTTTGGTGATGGATGTGATGAGTTTGTTGATGGAAGCGATGATGAAGAGCTTGATTTTTGATAAAGAAGCTTTTGTGATGAATTTTTGCTAGATTTTTTAGATGCTGGACCGGATTGAACGCCTAGATGTAATGAAAGTTTGAGAACATTTAGTATTTTGGTAGAAAATCGAATCATGAATGTGGACAATCTAGTACTTATTGTGAAAAAATCTAGTACTTGTTGTGAACAATCTAGTACTAATTGTGAATAATATGGAACTGATTGTGAATAATCTAGTACTTGTTGCGAGCAATCTAGTACTTATTTTGAACAAACTAGAACTGATTGTGAACAATCTAGTAATTATTGTGAAAGTTCTAGTATTTATTGTGACTTATTGTGAACAATCTAGTACTCATTGTGAGCAATCTAGTCCTTATTGCGAACAATCTAAAAACTTATTGTGGACAATCTAGTACTAATTGTGGACAAATTAGTAGTCGTTGTAGATAATCTAGTCCTTTTTGTAGAGAAATCTAGAAAATTTTAAATCAAATAATCACCCTTACCTGGCTTGAGTCCAGTATGCTTTGGTGACTTGGACTCTGAACTCTTCTTCGTCTTATTAAATGTAATCTTAATTCCATCACTGCTAGTTCCACTTGACTTAATCTGATACTCCCCCTTCTTTTCACTAGGTGGTGTCATAATTGTATCAGCAATCTCCGACTTGAGCTTATCAATGACTGCATTTAATGAACTTTTACGATTCGCCTGAGCCTGTGACTGCAATAGTGCATGCTTCAGCCCAGCCTGCGGTGACATTGTCTGTAAGATGGAAATAATAAAGGTTTAAATTAAAAAAGAGTGAACAAAGATTTTTTTTTCATGATTGAGACTCATCGACTGTATTTATTAAGTTATTATTTTGTGTGTATGTACATTAATTCCAGTTCCATTTTTTTTTGATCACATCAAATGTAATTTTTTTCCTACTTTTTACTATTTTTGGTTAATTTGCATCCATTCATGTCCCAATACTTAAATGAATTGACTTCTTACCTGCTGTGCCTGATCAAAATTAGTTAAGAACGCCAATTCATCGATTGCATCGGGAAAGTCTTCAATTTTCTTGCTCATTGTATGCTTAACTTTTGGACTAGAACTCGGATCGATCATTGATTCCGAAAGTGGTGACTTTAAAGGCTTAAAACTTGCCTGTGGCTTTCCCATCATTTGACTTGGTGACTTTTTCGGTGGTGATGAGCTTAATGAGTCACTTGACTTCTTCTTGACCATTGCTGGACTTCCCATTTCGCCTTCTTCACGTTTCCGCTTCTTTTTCTTCTCCGACTTGGACTTGTCATCCGTCGATGACTTCTTCTCACTGCCTTTGTAGAAAAAATTTGAATTATTAATTGGAGTTATTGTGATTGATGTTTGACCGAGCATCGACGGTGATGGTATGGGTGCATCAAGACTTGGTGATGGAACATTCCTTTGATTCTTTAGTGGAATTATCTCAATGTCATGAATTCTCTTTTCAGGATTAAAAGCAGTGCCAGATGGCGACTGTTTAGGGGTTGGGATACGTTTTGGTGATTGAATGGGTAGTTGGTGGGGTGGGGAGGGGTCATTAAACTCAAACACATCAATCATAGATTTTGGGGTTGGTGTTGAGCTAGACTTTTGATGCATTATCATATTTTTTTTATTTGGTGCTGAACTTTCGGAACTTCGGGATGAACATGGGGATATTGAAGAATTTTCATTATGCATGAGTTCGTCACTAAGGAGATTCCTTTCTGGAATCATCATTTCCTCATTTTCATCATCCAAATCATATCCCATGATTCTACTGACTTTTCTGTCGAATATATCCACGTCATTCTCTTCCGTTCGCATTCTTTTCTCACCTTTACTGTCGTTGGTCTTGAAGAATATTTCATTCTTGTTGATTCCGCAAATGTCAAATGCATTTGAATCCTGTCCATTTCCACTGAACGAGTCATCATTGTCATTTGATCCGTCGTCTTTCTCCATTTCATCCTTCTTGTCTGTGTTGCTAGTTCCATTACTTTTTGGATCAGCTAGTCCATAAATTCCGTTATTGAAAATTCTCTTTTGCATCCTTGCCTCATTCGCTTCATTGTCCCAATATTTAAGCAGTGATCTGGTCACCATTGGAATTGAGTTTGTCTTTTGCAGCACACGATTAATGTAGTTCTCTAATTTAGCATCATACTGGAAGTCACTTCCATTAATTTTACAGCACACCTGCTTAACATTCGTTAAATCTAGTTCCACTGTTATCATCGTCTCTTTTGTTGGATGTTCGATGAAGATTTGAATGAAATGAAGTGACACGATGTTGACTTCAAACATGTAGCATGACTCGAGGTCCTGTCGGCTGTTACTTCTGACACAACTAGCTATTAAGGCATTGAATAATGCTTGTTCTCTCAATAGCTTAATGATCCTCGTCACATGTGATGGTTCAGTGAATTGAATTGATTTTAAATTGAAACCAGTTAAGTCTGGATTGTCTGAGATGAAGTAGCAGTGTGATTGGTCCGTTAAGGATATAAACAATCCCTTCTGTGAATTTTGATAGGAACCTTCAGACTCTAAATTAATGATTTGATTCAGCAACGAATTTGACTCCTTTTGGATATCAAAATGCATTTGATTCTCAACTTTTACTGCATTTTTACTTCCAACTTCCTCGAAAACATTCAAATTTGTGATTCTTTTGATGTCTTCGACGATTTTTGATGAGATTGGAAAGGATTTGTTGAGTTTAAGGACAAACGTTGCTGGCAGCATCGTCGAATTTGTGTTTGTGATTTGCTGAAAGTTGTAATTTCCATCGAGCTTTCCATTTTTCAACAATAATGGCATGATTTGAAGCTTATTCGATGGTGCTGCAGCTTCCAAATTTATCGTCACTGAATTTCCAATATTTTTCTTCGTTGCCGCTGCATTCTGTAAAGCATCAAGCACTGTATCCATCTTTTTCTGCTCTAAATTCAGCAACTCACTAGCACGCACGAAAAATGTCAATTTCATTGGATGTCCTCCACGTCGCTTCGTCAACAATCCAACCGATGAGCTCAAAATTATCAGTTCTGGTGGAATATTTTGCATACTTTCCATGCCATAAATATTCATGAGATCATTTTCGAGTGCCTGAAGTGCAATCAGTGCTTTTGATTTAATTTTAGATTCACAGTTAAGTTGATAAATGGATTGGAAGCCTTCAAGTTGCTGTGTAAAGTCGATGAAGTCTCCTTTACGGAGGACTTCGACGAGATGTGGTTCGGATTCAGATTCGTTGAGGCATTCGTGATGGACCTGGAAATGAGATTTAGAAAGGTTTTCTTAGTTAATAAAGTTGGAATGGTTGAGGTTGAAGGTTTGTTGGGTTCGAAGACATGAAGTTGAAAATATTGAACTAGTTTTAAGTGAAATCTACTCGATTTTTTGATCTGCGGACTTAGATTGATCTATCTGATGCGGATTAATTGGTCTAGAACTCTGTAAGACCTCAATTAAAGCCTAATGAACAAGTGATATCAAAAGTTAATGTCAAAGACAGTCTTTATAGATTCAGCCTTGCTGCAAGCTTGCTAAAAGCTTGGTTCTTACTTTTCTGGTTACTGAGTTGAGACGGGCAATAGAGTAACACACATTTAGGTGATTTATGTTCAATTTTCCTGTCCTGTTATGTTTTTTAGACTTACAACGTAACTTTTATTGTCTTAGAGCTTTTATTCTAATGTTCGCAGCACATACTTGGTGGTACTATACAAGCATTAGTACTGAGCATGGTCTTTGTTTATTGGGGAGTAGTCATCTTAAAGTGATGTATTGTCCAAGACAAGCTACATCGAGTTGTGATATTTTTGGGCCTCTTTGGAATTAAATTGGTTCCATATTTTAGACTTGAATAAGTGTTCCAATTCAGACATTTCAACTGATTATACTATCAAGAATGTATGGCAATGGCCATGACCTTCGATGCTGTTTTAGAAAGCTACAGCATCTCAAAAAGCTGACCCCCTTAGCTTTAGATGCATTTCTTATTTCCTTTTTAATTAAAACAGTAAGCTCAAAGACAAACCCAAGAATTCATCTTCGAAAGCTTAATTCAGGTACAACTGACATCAAGCAACAGCCCACATACCCAAGCAAGACCGAACCAAGTTTTTTTTATGTCCAACCAACAAAAGCTCCCCAATTTCAATAAAATATTCAATAAATCTCAAACACCAGCTCACCTTAACATCATTAACAATTCCACTTTGAGGATCCAGCAGAATCTCCAAATAAAACATGTCTGACGAGATGAATAAGCTACTTGTGTTACTATTTTCTGTAAATTTCAGACTTAATTGTCGTCTTGTGATCATTTCAAGTCTCTCGACAAGCTGTGTTCGATTTTTAATTGTGATATTATTTTGTAAATTATCCAAAGCTGTTTGCAGTGTCTGTTTTTCAATGGCGTCGATGTTGTATCTGAGAAAAAAATTATTTTCATTTATTTACGTGATTTTTGGGTGCAAAATATTGAATTTATTGTAAAATTACAAAAAATTGCGAAAACTGTAAAAATATCTCAAATTTGACACAAAAAACTCACTTTTTCTCAAGTAAACTCATCCTGGTTGCTTTTGCAAGATCCAAAAATGACTTTTGTGATTGTTTTGCCCTCAAACTTTCCATCAGCGACTCCATTCGCCATTGTTTGTTCTTATCGACTGCTTGCGTTGACATTTTGATACTAATTGATAATTGAAATGGAACTTAACACAGATTTTATAATAAAAAACTATTCGTTTGAGATTTGCTTGCTGTCGTACCTACTTTGAGGAATCGCAACAACAATGAAGGGAGAAAAAAAAGTTTTTGAAATTTTTGTTGCTGTTGAGAATTTTTGAGAATTTTTGGAAGTTTTTAGGGATGAAAATTTTATGGTTTGTGGAAAGTTCTTGGATTGGGGTTAGCATGATAAGTTGGAATATTGCTTAAAAGCTTAGAATCTTTGAAGTTTGTGAGCTGACATTTGATTTATCAATGAAAACTTTCCAAAAAAAAAAAAATCTACTAACTTTGTTTAACGGTTTTTTTTAATTTTTGAAATATTTGGGTAATGTTTTGCAACAACCAGTCAACCCATGATTTTACAATATCTAATTTTTAAAAGGGTTTTTTGTTTGTAAACAGAATTTTAACTTCTCTATTGAGAATAATTTGATTTAAGATTTTAAGATTTTTTTTTCATCAATATTTTTTGTTAAAAAAAATTGCAAAACTTTAATAAATCATCAATTTTGCAGATGTTGTTCCTTAATCAATCATAATGTTAATGTTCAATCTTTATGCCTCTCTATCTTCTAATTCTAATCTTGTGCTCTAAAAACTGTCAATCCAGCCAAAGCACATCTAAACATGACCATAACCATGATACAAAAAAACTTATATTTCTACCTGAATAAATGTTTCCTTATCAAACATGTTTTAAACTGTTTACAAACTCCAAATAATTACTCATTTTCTTCTTTTTGTTCTCTACCGTTCACTTTATAAAGCAACAGCAACAAGTGTTTGAAATTTGAGCGATCGCGAGCATTAAAACATGACTCAATTTGTACAAACGGCTCAATGGTCTAGTGGTATGATTCTCGCTTTGGGTGTGAGAGGCCCCGGGTTCAAATCCCGGTTGAGCCCCATTTGTAATAAGTTTGAGGTTACGTGGACTATTTTTTTTGTGGATTTTTTGATAAGAATAATTTTAGTATTTTTGCTTGCTTGTGGATTGATACTTTTGGCTTTAGCTCTTGATTCAACGTATTCGGAAAGGTACGAGACCAGATCTTAAAAGACCTTAAAGTAAAAAACAAGGAACTTCCTGAATTTCCTTCTACTTAACTACAGTAATTCACTTAATGTCATTAAGTCACAGAATCAACCCTAATTTATTATCAAACAACTGCCAAAATACATGCGAATTACTGTTATCAGCCAATTCAATACTTACGAGGACAGGAAGAAATATTATAAAATTTAATCAATTAATTCGATTAGTCGTAAATTGTCATTGCAATTGTTCAAGTCGGTTCCAAGATTTGTAAGAAAAAAAAGAAATCTTCTTCATCGCAAAACTTACAATCTAGTTCAAAATGATTTTAAATATTGTGATTTTTACAATCTTTCTAAACCAGATTAACGCTGAACTTGATCCAAACTCAAAAGTCGTTACGATTGATTTAAAGATTCCAGAAAATTACGCTATAACTTATCCAACAACAACAAATTTGAGAGATTCAAGAATTCTTCATGGAAGTTCAGCAGCTAATGGTCAATTTCCATTTGCAGCCTTTTTGCATATTCAACGAGGAGGTTCATTAACGCATTGTACGGGATCGTTGATTTCTAGTAATTGGATTATTACGGCTAGGTCTTGTTTTGTGTAAGTATGTTTTGATTAACATTATGTTGATGAATTTGCTTAGGTTAACGTACGATGATGATGATGTCCTTTCATTCCACTGTGTAGTGTAGGGCGTTTACGAAACTGTTAAATCTAATGCAATTGATAGCTTAGCTCTGCAAAGCCGCTTTTTAAGAATATACGATTGCCATGTACCACTAGATTTACTTATTTTTGGACCTTCCTTCGATTTCAAGAATAATAGTTGCGTTATATCTGCAAGGTCTTTCCTTAGCGTGTTACAAATCCAATTCCAGTTGCTTCTGCCTTTTTAATCGGCAATTGGCTCCTGTTTCGTCGAAGAATAAAGTCTCTTATTGTTTATGAGCTCCAAGTTGAAGATGCGACCCTCATGCTAATAATCATGTCCATGATCTAGATTCTGTGACCCTTTTCTCGGTTTTTAATAGATACACTCTAGTCAGAGACGTAGGCTGAGTGTCAAAGCTCCTCCTATTAGAAATTTATCACTTTAATAAGGTAATTTAGAGCTGAAAACCAAAAAAAGCCTAAAATGTTCACGCCCATTCAAGAAACTTTCGAAAATTTCTAGCTACACCTCCGACTAAAGTGCTTGTTGTAAGGGTCTTACCTTTGACAATGCTTTAGGAATGCCGTTCTTAAGGTAACGTTATTTAAACAAATTCATTAATCACATGGTTCATCAACCATATCTCAATAAAAGAAGCTAACCAGACGACCAGACAAACTTTCTCATTCTCTTCAAATTCCCTTTTCAAAACTATTTCTTCAAGCTCACATCTATCGCAACATTTAAACAAGTGTTTTACATGCCTTAAACATTATTTCTTCTTTTTGTCGCTTACCGTTCACTTTTTTAAGCAATAAAAAGCAAGTGTTTGAAATTTGAGCGATCGTGAGCATTAAAACATGACTCAATTTGTACAAACGGCTCAATGGTCTAGTGGTATGATTCTCGCTTTGGGTGTGAGAGGCCCCGGGTTCAAATCCCGGTTGAGCCCCATTTGTAATAAGTTTGGAGTGTAGGACAATTCCCCACTGTAATTTCGCCACTTTACATTTGGCCACTGACATTTCACCACCACTACATTTTGCCACCTGTACATTTTGCCACTATTTATTTGCCCACTATTTATTTGCCCACCTGTTTTTTTCGCCACTGCTTTTTTCGCCACCTTTTATTTGGTCACTATTTATTTGCCCACCTGTTTTTTTCGCCACTGCTTTTTTTGCCACTAATCATATGGCCACAAGTTTATTTGCCCACTGATTTATTTGCCCACTAAAGCAAATGATAAAATAAAAAATTGTAAAAAATATTGAAAAAATTTTGTTAAAAAAACATGAAATTTTTAAAATTATTTTTTGGAGCATTTATGGAATAATTGGCCATATTTGGGTGTTCTGAAAAAATTATGCGACCGTACGTAAATGTGCTTGAAGGTGTAACGATATATTGAGATTTGAATAATCTCTCTTCTCTGGCTTGGACTTATCATCACTTATCCACTCTTGCTTCCTTCATTTATTTTATTCTATTTTTCCTTACTAGTTTTTATTAATTTTAATGTTTAAAAAGCTTTAAAGGTTTAATTAACTCTCAATTTACTATTTCATCATTCTATGAGATAATTTGAATAGAAATTAAACGTGACGTAAGGATGCTGGGTTATAAGTCCAGAGATTATAAGTCCAGGTACAAAAATCGTGCACAGAAAATTATAAGTCCAGAAAATCAAAGTCAATAAAGGTTTATAAGTCCAGATACAAATTGCACCTGGACTTAAAAACCTCACCTGCAGTTTATAATGCCAGAAAATTTAAAAATTTTACTTATAACCTCCCAGTGCGATTATAAATCCAGATACATTTTTCTGGACTTATAATCCTTGAAAATTATTTGATATTATTTTAAATTTTTTCATTTAAAGTAATTCTTCACATGAATTTTTGAAAACTTCACAAAAAGAATTCACATTTCTCTGATTTTTTTTCCTCTAAAGTACCATATAGGGTAAATTAAAATTTGCGTGTTTTGAGACTTGGAATTTTCAAACGCTTGTAACTAATCGACGAATTGACATTGTGACCTACTAATGGTCTTGAAATGTTAAGAGTCGTCGATATTTTTATTTTTGATCATGTAAAGGTTTTTGCGCTGCATCAATTCAGAGAAAATTGACATTTAAGTTTTCATTTTGAAATTTGCGCAAAAATATTTTGAAATTTGCGCACTTTTTTGATAGTAATCTTTACCTTATACTATTTAGCATCAAATTACAGCTGTACTAAAATTACAGCTGCACTATGGGGCAAAATGAAAAAAAAAGGGACTTTCACTTTGAAAAATGGACTTTTCCGATTTACACTTTTTGGGTGATTTTTTCTTGTAGAGGACATAAAAGTAGATAGAAATGCCAAATTTCAGGTCATTTGGTGCTGATTTCGCGATTCTAGAGCTGTTTGAAGTTGAAAACTAGTGAAAATTCTGGTTTTTTCATACCATGTTTGAACCGGGAAATATCTTAACTGGTTTAAGATATTGCAAAACGGTTTTCAGTTCCTATTAGTAGTATATAAGAGCTTTATTTTGACATATAACAAAGTTTAGGTTCTGAATGTTTTCGTGCCATTATGGTAGAACATATGTGAAAATTTCAGGAAAATTATCTTCAAACAAGCCGCAACTATCATAAATGAAGAGTTTCCAGGCAAGTAAAAACGCAGTTTTGTAGCCCCATATATCTAGTTTTCAAAACTGTATAAACTTTGAAAAAGTAAGCTAACGTAATTGAGTTATGTTGATTTTAGTAGGTCGTTGAGTATTTGGCCAAAAACTAATAATTCTTTTAAAAATACGAAAACATAGTTTTAAAAATAGTTTTTTGGTGTTTTCTTATGAAAAATAACAATTTAAATGATTTTGTGAAGAAAATTTTTCAAAAACTTCAAAATCTTTCGAGATATAGGGGGTATGTGCTCTCCATCGATTTGGCCATTTGTCACCCTACTTAAACCACTATAACTTTTTTTTGAAAAAATATTTTTTAATTCTGTTTTCGGATTATTGTAGCCTAATGTAATACCTATCCAACGATATATAATACTTGCTAGTTAACTTAGTCCTGGTTATTTATAGGGCTGTTGATTGTGACATACGCAGTTTTTGAAATATTCCCAAAAATTGCATTTTCAAAAATACCACTTTTAAGCAATCTCGAGTATTTTTTTAGAACTTTTTTATGAAATGTTAAGTCTGAAAAAAGCTATTATCATTAGAGTAATAAAAAAAATACTCTGATACGCAACTATAATAGGTAAAATTAATAAAGTTTAATTTTTAGTTTAATGAAATTTTGTTTATTTGTCAAGAAATTTAATTTACATTTTTTTATCATATTTAATGAAATTTATTTATTCATTCGTTGTTTGCTTCTTCAGAATATTCATGGTCTTGTCCTTCGGAATAATCATAGTTTTCTGCTTGGGAAAAGTCATAACCTTCTCCTTCTGGCTCAATCAATTCAATTTCTTCCTCATCTTTTTCCTCATTTTCTGTTTGTTGCTCAGGTGTTTCACCTTCTTCTTGGACATTTTTTCTCATTAACCTTTTATTTATTACATCCATATATTTTTTTATTATTACTGGATCAGAACTGTAGAGTCTTCTATGTATAACATCCGTAAAACTGTGTATTCTTGAAGTTTTTCTGGCACGTAGTTCTCTATCTTGTCTGAGATATTTGTTTTGTGACTCCCCGGCTTCTTCACTCATTCTTCCTAGAGGTAATGGTAAGGCTTCCATGTAGTGTTTTGCATGAGCAAGTGCTCTGTGAAGTGTTACTGGTATTTTGAACCAACTATATGTTGTCAAAAACATTCTGTATGTTTCTTTACAGTACCTATCAAATTCATCTAGATCATCAACTGGTTCTAAACTTCGAATTTGGTTTAGCACATAGCATATACGTTTAATTATTTCTTCATTAAGATATAGAGTTTTAGCTAGAAGCTCTGGATTTTCAAGAACTTTTCTTGCAACGTTTCCTGTATCTGATGATCCAGCTCCCCCTTGTCTTGGTTCGAGTACACGAACATTAAATGCATCCCACATTGCTTGCTTTATTCTAGCCTTTTCAACATCTAAAACAATCTGTTCCTCTTCAGTTATCTCCAGCCAGTGTTTTTGAACATATTGTTTATATGACAAATCATATAGAGTCGTGAGTACGTTCATTGATGTATGAAGTGGCTGAGTGTTGAAATACAAGTGTTCTTTAACAAATTTTCTGTGTGTTTTTTCGAATCTTCCATTATCAAGATTATTTATGTCACTCATCTCGTTTGGTCCAGATCTACAAAGCTGACATCTGCAATATCCTGATGTTTCTGTAAGGTCTGTGTAAACTTTTCCATCTAACATTGTGGGGTAGAATTTGTACGTAATTTCCAAAAGCATGTCTTCACATATGAATCTCTGTGGTTCAAGTTTTGATATTTGATTTTTTATATCTTCATATATCCTTCTAACATTTACTCTGGTTTCTTTGGCATGTTCAAGTTGTATTGGTCGTACTGAGTATACAGATTGACTGTTTTCGTTGTCCCATAAGCAGATATAATTTCCGTTTTCGTCTTCATGTCGTAGTTGCTGAACACTCATACTAACTGTCAATAGTGATTTGTCTTCTATAATTTCATTATTAGTCGTTTGATTCGGTTGTGTTCTATCTCGTTCTTGATTTCTTGAATTTGTTTTTCCTTGGTTATACTGTGACTGTCCTGTTGTTCCGTCCATCCCCCATGTGACGATCATTTCTGCATGAATAACTTTTGGAGTTGATTCTGAAGGTAATATTTTGATTTTGTCGTATATTTCTGAATTGTGTGCTTCAATAACTCTTTTTGTGGTGAGTTGTGTCAAATTTTTTAGTGGAATAACGGCTCTTGTATCGGTGACCGTTATGTCATCAGGATAGCATTGTTTCTCTAACCTC